AGGGAATTTTTACATTGTACCAACATTCAGGACTGTCTCGAAGAGATTAATACAATTGCAACGAATTTAGGTTACAAAACCGCTACAATTGAAGGGCTGGTCAGATGTTACAAAGAAAATAAAAATAAAAAACATGCTAACTTCGATAGAATTAATAAATTCACATACAACAACCGATTGGGTGGTGCTGCGAATGAATTAGCATCTTATAAAAAGTCGAGAATGATTTATAAAAGAGCACCCAATATTTATAGTTTACTACGAAACCAAAAAGACATACTAAAAAAGGAAGAGAAATATGGAGTATATAAAATACCGTTTAAAAACCAACAGTTAGGAATTACAAAAGATTATGTGAGTGTGACTCGAAGAAATCTTGCAGTACGTCTGAGCGTTGAAAAAGGATTATGGCACAAACAGAAGGAGAAGTTGTAAAGTGGGAGGAAGCGAACGTCATTAAAACAGTGCACTCTCATTCATTGCGTTGGAAAAAGTATAAATTTACAAAAGCAAAATAAAAGAACGATTCCTAAATGCTAGGGATTCTAATGCACTTCCAACAGCGTGGAAATATATAATAGAAAAAAGAATGGGACTTAAAAACCCTGAAATCATATATTCACTATGGTTAACTTGATGTTTAATACGTACTTTTAGTTATTCATTTAGTTATTTTATTGTTTATTTATTATACAGCGGTTCTAGTAATTAGTCCAATTTTTTTTTAAATTTGAAATATTATAAATTCGAAAAACGATACGTTCCATTTTTGGAACATTTGCATTGTTTTCTAAAACCTCAGGATGACCCATACTATAGAGATTAAAAACGTTAGTAATAAAAATCTTTTTGCTCAGCAAACATTAGGTAATATATTGATTTCATGTAAGATGTTTAAAGATTTTTTTTTTTTTTTTGCACTTAAATGTATGGTTCCCGCAACTCAAAGCAAGGAATTTTTATTATAATTTAAATAACTTTGTATTTATACTGTACTTATTTTAAATAATTTTATAATTCTGAAGACGGCCGTAAAATGAAAGTCGTCCCGAAATGCATATAATATTATATGCAATTAACCAGACAAAACGAAGAATTCTATTTATTCATTGAATTATCGAGAGAGTCATAAATGTGCAAAGGCAGCTGTACTTATTTTAAATAGTTTTATAATTCTGAAGACGGCCGTAAAATGAAAGTCGTCCCGAAATGCATATAATAATACAGTATATGCAATTAACCAGACAAAACGAAGAATTCTATTTATTCATTGAATTATCGAGAGAGTCATAAAGCTGCAAAGGCAGAATTGCCGAGTTTAAAGAATTATTTAATATATAATAAAAATTAAGTAAACACAGTATTATCGGTTGAAGGCCTCGAGGGTTTAATTATTAAACTAATTGATAATCTGTTTTAATTATCTCATTGAAACGAGACGATGTAAGATCAATCCTTATCGTAAATAGTATAAAATAATTTTATTAGCATCCATAAGATGTTTATGAATAAGTTATAAGATAATCTAACTTACTTTGATTATTCATTTTCTCAACACTATTTCGCTTTTGATAAATTCTCATTCGAAAAGAAGATCCTCGAATAATTCACTTTGACAATTGCCAAAATTATATTGTTAGCATTTATTGTTAACGCCAGGGCTGTGGAGTCGGAGTCGTGGAGTTTTGGTATTTTATCCGGAGTCGGAGTCGAAGTCGTCAAAAAACCTGCCGACTCAACTCCTTTTTACTTCCCAACTTCTTATGTATATAAAACGGAAAAGTATTGGAATCGTGTCAAATTTGACCCTCCAAAAATTTTTTTTTCCAAATCTACACGTTTGGAGACCTCTCGAACCCCTCAAAAAGTCAATAAAAATTCAGAGAAAAAATTCGCGTGCGTGTATGTGTTGGCGTCTAATTTGTTTAACTTCTTTATTTTCTGTTCTGAGATATTAAACAATACTATNGTACCTGTTTATTATACAGTACAATTGGTTTTTTGATCGACATTCAGGTCTCAACGATGAGTGTAGCCAGAGATGGGCCCGGGTGGGTACGGGCCACCGCAGAAAATGATAGCCGTAAAAAGTGTTGAGCTGACTTGCAAAAAGAAGTAATAAGTAGAAAAGTAGAAGTTGGAAATTCTCATCCTAAAAAAAACGTCAACAGCATCCGAGCCCAATGTTATAATGAAAAGGAAGTTTCATACGTTATGTGTCTTAAGTCAGTGTTTTTCAACCTGTGGGTCGCGATCCCCAGGGAAGTCGCGAAGCCTTACACGGGGGGTCGCGGGTAAAAGAAAAAGACACGTGTTTGTAGGTCCTACACTACATTAATTAAAAAAACTATAATTTCAGCGAGAATTACGGCCGAGAAAATGATAGCCGAAAAAGTGTTGAGCTGATTTGCAAAAAGAAATAAAAAGTAGAAAAGTAGAAGCTGAAAATTCTAATCCTGAAAAAAAGATCAACAGCTCCCTGTGCCCAATGTTATAATTAAAGGAAGTTTCATACTTTATGTGTGTTAAGTTATTTTAAGTCGATTCTTCTGAAATTTTCATTTTAATAAACAATAATTTGTCTCAACAGAAAGAAAATTAAATATATAGTTTTTAAAATCACTGATATAGTTTTAATATGGCCCTAGGGGGTCGCCAGAATTTTTTAACTTGTAAAGGGGTCGCGTATTCAAGAAGGTTGAAAAACACTGATTTAGAGGAACCAGTAACGGTCCCCTCAGTCTCATCATTAGTATATCTCAAAGGACGCGACAGGGTTGTTGTAAATTTTAAACGTTTCTCATCATAGCTGTAAAAATCTAAATACGTTAAACTTAATAGATTGTCCGTCTTTTGTTTTCTAACTAATTCGTTTTAGGACCAGGTGTTGTCCACGGAAATTTTCAAAATTTACAACTTTTCTGTCACTCTCGTTGAACTGGAAACATTTCTGTCTTTATTACATCTAATACAGTATTTCGAAGAAATCAGTCCTCACTGTACTCGGCTATAGATTGGTTCGGTTAAGCTTTTGTTTAAGTAATATTCCGGCTCTTTCGTCAGGGTTTTGTTTATGTCCCCAATTCCCTAATCGCTTAATTATTTAACTACTTCTTAAGTAGAAATAAGTCGAAACCGGTTACTTCGTACTCGAATATTTACAGTCTAGGGAAAAAAGTGAAAAGACAAATTTTTATAGACTTCGAACTCACATTTGAGTTATAAATAAACAGCCGGCTTTATTTCCATCATTTTAGTTGGAATAATGGAACTAAAATGATGGAAATAAAGCCAAGTGTTTATTTATAACTCAAATGTGGGTTCGAAATCCAATATATTCGCAAAACAAGGTTTCGAAAACAACATACAAATTTTTATGACAAACGGGTACATAAATCGTAAATTCAAGGAAAATAAATTCTAGAGCTTTTTTTTTTTCGGCGCATCTCTCTCATTCATTAAATTTAGTTGTAAATGACGCTGTCGAAGTAACGGTTAATTTTTCAACATTGTACAAGAATTGTACACGTTTTTTTTTCCTACATCCCCTTAGAGACGGGACATAGGAAATCGTAATATCACTGGTTTAACGTTGAAATCCGTGAGTAATATAAAATCGGAGAGCGGAATTAAAGTATTTAAGCGGAATTAAAATATCAAATTTTAATATTTTTTAAAACTCCTGTCAACTATACAGAACTATCGTAAAAACATACCAGTAAATTCTTATCGGTTGGGTTAAGTTATAAATCTCGTTATTCACGTAATCGGCCAAATATCTAGCGGGCGGGCGGGCTAACAGCCCGGAACCGGTTCCGGATAGAATTGGAAGCGTTGGAATGTGTAGCATCAACTCATGATCGTAGGCTTCCACCGGCTAAACCCGGTGATGTTGGTGCTCTGTAAAGCGCGTGTGCAAATCTGGCAATACAGAGATTCCACTCCGCCACTAATATTCGAAATAGCAATCTTATTTTTTTTCACGTGTAGTATAGAAATTTGTAATAAGATACATAATGCGGTTATAATAATATATTGTACGATTATTTTCCCTTGTTCCCTCAGAGCGGTAGGCTGCCACCTTGACCGCTCGGCCATTCGATCGTCGAAATAGATAATCTTATAGAAACGTTTAATAAAGTGCTAATAGTCATCTTAACTTCTGTTGACAAAGAACTTATAAATAAATTTCAATTACTGATTTAGGCTGTGTACACATTAGGCGTTTTGCGTTGCGTTAATCGCGTGTCAGCAGCGTACACACCGCGCGTTAGCTCGGCGTTCGACGACCGTTTAGTGAAGCGTGAGCACTGGCTCCGTTCGGAAATGGACGTGAAAGTAATTGCTTGTGTGTGCCTCCTCCATCGTCCCTATAAAAGAGGATGGCAGAGGCAAAAAGAATTTTGGGTGCACCCAATATTACGAGATAGACTGACGCATGGAATGTTTGTGACGTTGTATCCAAAACTAAGACAATATGAACCCAAATTTTTTAATTATTTTAGAATATCTATAAAATTATTTGACGATGGCTGGTCTCTTTTAGATTTCATCAATTAATAGACCAGTATCGAATTGATCGTTCTCCATTTCGGCCAACGTACGTCCACTCTACCCGAAAGCGCGCGATCGAATGTACAACAACATGGCAGCACATATATCTCAAAGCGCGCGGCTGACGCCCGCGAAACGCTCGTTTTAACAAAAATCTATCAACGCGCGCTTGGCCAGAAGCGCGCGTTTGAGTATGTATGTATGTTTGAGTACCTATGCAGAACCAAGAGTTCTGCATAGGTAAACACGCGCGTTACCAAAACGCCTAATGTGTACACAGTCTTACAATGTCGGGATCGCATCAAAGGATCCAAATTCGATTTTCCCGGAACAAAACTCAAACTCAATTCTATTTTTATTTAATCTAATTAATTAATTTAATGCGAGTATTAGTAATTATTAAAATTAAATAAAATTGCTAAAATAAAATTATTCAAAAAAATTGCTATTAATTAATTTCAAATACGATATTACAGCAGAAGACTATCTCTCTTATCATCGGTTCTTTTAAATTTTTGTTCTGCAATATACAGTAAACTGAGTTTAAATTGTGAGTTTTCGTTAAATCATTATTACCTTTTTTAGATAAAAGTTTAACTAAAATATACATTTTTTCTACAGGTATTCTTATATATTTTATTTAATTCTTTATGCAAGTCAATAATTTTGCTTTGATTTTATTTTTTTTTCTATCAGTGATAACTGATAAATTTATCTGTCATTATTGAATTGATTTATTAATTAATAAACACTTCCAATAAATAAATAAATATTTGTATTTTTAAACAACAAATATAAAAAAGTATTAAAAGTTTTGTGATCTGTTTAATAAACTATATTCCATTTTATTTTTTTTAGATAATGAAAGCCTTCTTTTACTACTACTATTTTTTTTTATTTTAAATTCCTTAGGCAAGAAAAATTATCTTTTTGACAATCATAGGTAATAAGGATGTGGCCTAACTCATTTATGTTAAAAAACTCATGAAGATTGCTAAGGGCTGTCTGTTAATGATGTGGCACCTCATGGGGAGGCGGTGTAATTCGGAATGTGATGTAATGCCTGTGCTCAACTGTTTTGACTGACTATAGAGATTGCTAGTGCATACAATCTTATATTGGCAAATATAGGATTGGTGCTTTCCAAATGTATTGAGTGTTTTTACATTGTGGTTAGTACTGTAAATGAATGTTGGTACTAATTGTGATGTCAGAATACTCAACTGTTCTGGTAATGCAGACACGTGATGAGAGGAGGGAAGGAGGAATGATCCTTGTGACATCACATTTCATATTTATCATTAATCAGTTTTTTTAATACATAATATCAATTTAAAAGATATTTTTAAAAAATTTAGTTTATGTATTTAAATTTAAAAGATAGCAAAAAGTAAACATACATTGTACTGTAGCTGGTAACACATTATTATCTGTTATGCTTACAGTAAATGATACAATTTCTGTGCCTATAATAGTGTGGAATTTACATTGTCACACTCTCACTAGTCATATCTTAGAAATGACTCATCAATTCATGTTTTTAATGTCTAAAGTCAAACAAATGTTAGGATATGAAATGTTATTGAAAGTTGTGATGTTGCTTTAAAGCCATAAGTCATTTTTGTGTCTAACATCTGTAGAGTTTAACAATGTAATTTTTTATATACATATAACTTTGTTGTCCATTAGGATATAGGATAGAGACCAAGCATAAGGGTACTGTATTTATAAGTTAAGCAGTTATTTACTTATTAGACTTGTTAAAAATATTTATCAAATTGCTTTGAAAAATTCAAAAATTTATTTTTAGAGTATTAACAAAGGAAATATAGAGAAGTAACATTTATATTTAAATGCTGTATAACTTGTGAAATTGAATGCAAATATGTTAAGTAAATACAAAAAATAGAAGGGCCAGATATTTCATTGGTGGAGATGGTATTTGTCACTAAGGATGTTTAAGTATCTTAAAAAGTTTTTAACATACTTCAAAAGAAGGATTTCTAGGCATATGAGATGATTTATACATTGTAATTTATGGCTGTATTTTTTCTGGATGCTTTGTACATTTCTATTTTTTTGAGATTAAGATGGGTCCAGTCTCAATAAAGTTCACAACTTACAAGATGTAAGTTGTGAGCATCATTGAGTGAGACAAACATCATTTTCAGCAATGAAGGCAGCAAGTTCAGTAGTAGATAAGCTCATTTTGATGGAAAACACTTGCTCTTTGTAAGCAATAGTTAACAGTGAAACTGAAACAATGAGAGGTGGTTTTTTTTGTATCAATTAATATAAGCACTACAATAGTGTAATTGATATTACGGAATTATTTCAATTCATTCTGTAACCACTGACCATTGAGACCTTAATGAACAATTACAAAACCAATTTCACAATTCCAAAAGCAGTAATGCTTTTGGAAAGATGTTTTATTTAATATTTACATTTCTTTATTAAAGAATGCATCTTGGCCAAATTAGTTGTTTGTCTCCTCTTCACTTGTAAATTAACATGTTTATTATATAAAATTTTGTTGTCTTCTTCATTCGTTTAATTTTTCCCAATTAATAATGTTTTTATTATTTTTATTTAATTTTAGATCTTTTTTTTTTTACATTTTTAAAGAATATTTTTAAGTTATACAAATTTGACATTACAACTTTTACCTTCTTGCTCTCTGATTGAAAGGTTTGCAGTGCTCTTTGTTGTTGTGACACTTTATGATATTTTTAAATCTGTAACTACAGTGTCTTTTCTGGACTGAGGAAAACAGGTTTTGAATTTGTTTGGAATGCTTTATTACTGGTATGTAATGCACAAGTTGCTATGTCATCAGCATCCCATACACTCGTATAGGATGTTGATGACATAGACAAGCTAAGATCCAAAGTAAAGTCAAAGTAAAGCAGTCACTGACTGATTATATATACAGGAATCAGAATTGCTGATTTTTTGGGATTGATTTTTCTGCCTATTGTAATTTGGATATCTTGTTCAAAAGATAATTGCTTTCTTAAGTAGGTTTCACATCTTTAAATAAAACATTAATTCCTTCACATTTATTTTCAGATATTTTTACTCATGATTGCATATTGTCCTCACAAGCAAATAAGCTTCAGATATTACTGCCATTGTTATAGAGTCAGAGTTGTCAGTGTCGATAAAATTCTTTTGACTCTGGTGACTCCACTTTGAATTTTACTATTGGTAAAATATATATATACTGACAACTCTGACTCTACAACACTGGCAGGCTTAAAATTATATATATATAATTTTNTAGGAGGGAATTTCTGCGAACTTCTTGCCACAATACAGATTTTTATGAAAATTAGAGAAATTGTAATTGTAGTTGTGGTAAAACTTTGTTTTTTTAACAACATTCTCGTATTTTGTTCGTGGCTGAGTTCCGTTTCTAGGAGTAAATCGTCGGGGACTTAACGTTACGTTAATAAACGAAGGGCCAGCCGAAAAAAATAGCATAAGATTTGTAAACTTTAAATCGCATAAGTAAAGATATTTCGTTGTTAATTGATTAATTAATTAATTTTTTGGTAGCGACAGATTGCCAAATACACTCGCGATCTAAACAAGGTGCGGATTTGTGAATATCTTCGAATCTATTTTAAACATTTAGGCCTATGTAACAATTACCAATTGAAAATGTTTTTTTTTTTTTTTTTTATAGTTGCTGCCGGTGAATAAACATTTCGGTGTCCTGTCGGAAAAGAAAATCGTTTACTTCATAGTTTCGAAGCATTCTCGCCAGGTAAGAATTGTTTCGATTGTAGTTTTTCCACAGTTTCCAGTATACGTGGGCCAGATACGGGCCGTTCGAAAAGTCTCTCTGAGGCGGCCGTTTCTTTTAGTTGGTTAATTGGTTTCTAGCAATACTCGCGTGACGGGTGACATGGTGTTTTACTGGCTAATTCTACTGCCGTTATAGGCGGATTAGGTAGTTTGCGTATACACAGTGTTTTTGTTCTGTATAATCTATAATTCCCGATGCGGAGAGACTTTTTGTACATCCCGTATGTGTATATATACACACACACATATATATATATATATGTGTGTGTGTGTATATATACACATTTCAAAATGGCTGATGAATTTACATAGTAAAAAAAAATTTATAGAAAAGACTAAAATGCCTTCATTTTTATCATGTCAAATCACCAGGAACAACAGTCTTCCATTGCAGAGAAGACCTTTTATTAAAGGCTATACCTCTGCAAAACATGCAAAACAGTCTGAAAAGTTTACAGGTGAAAAGCCAACAATTAATTTTTAAAAGAAACGAGCAATTATTTATTATGACATTGTCACAATGCTCTCCCCCTCACATTAGTACTGTAGTGTCTTGGCCTTTTTTTTTTTTTTTTTTTTTTATTAGATAAGTGCACCACTCCTATGGGAGTATAACACTAAGATACATAAAACAAGATAAATGATTCAAAGTAAACATAAAATTAGAAAGTACTGCTTTTAGTGAAGACTAAAAGTAATATTAGAAATTAGAAATTATGAAAAGTCTTTTCTTCCATATATTTTGAATATAACTGTAAAAGGTATCAAACAGAGGCTTCTGTACAAGTTTATCCAGTGGACATGGCCACCTGAAACCATGCATGAAGATTTCTAATTTCATTATAAGTCTATCTTGATCATAAATAGGACAATGGTAGATCATATGGTCAACAGTATCAAGGTTTCCTGTGGAACAAAAGCAAAAGGCAGTTTCTGCCCGGTTATACATCGCCAGGTAGCTCCTAAAATTACCATGCTCAGTAAGAAGTTGAGCAGTAGTAAACGTCAGAAATCTAAGTGGTGAAGAGAGTCTGCTATCAACACTAGGAAAATACAGTCTGGTTATTTTACCCGTCTTACTGCTCAACCATTGCTGGTTCCACTTCTGCATAGCATTTGCACGGATATAATTTTTAAGGCTGCTGCGTGAGAAAGGAATGAGAGTATAGTCCAAGTCAGTGTCCTTTGCAGCTGACTTCGCCTCAAGGTCGGCTTTTTCATTTCCCAAAATGCCAGTATGACCAGGAACAAAAATAAAAGTTATCCTATTCACATGATTTACAATATGGTGCTGGATATATGTGATTTTGTTGCTATTGCAGTTGGGATTTAAGAGGGCCTTTAGGACAGACTGAGAGTCACTGAAGATGTTGAAAGAAAGAGTTTTGTTAGGAAGTGAGGTGGCCCACTGAACAGCCCGGTAGACAGCATCTTCCTCAGCTTGATAGATGGTGGTGTATGGGGGGTACCTGTACCTTTTAACATATTTTGGGCAAAGTAAATCAGTTTGAAGATAAATGCAGACACTTGAGCCAACATGAAGGGAGCCTTTGGACCCATCTGTGTAGATGTTAATGTCAGCATGGACATCCAGGGTGGAAGCAGATGACACCACGTGCACCCTGGGGATAACCCTGCTTACAGGGTGATGATCACAGTTGGTGGAGAAGTTGCAGTGTGGAAGCATGTGAACAGCCGTAGATAAGAGCAGAGACCGTTGTTGAACTTTGATGTTTGTGGTTCTGGTGTAATAGTGANAAAACAGAAATTGGTACTCACATGCACAACAAAGGTTAAGAAGCCAAAATAAGATAATCAAGTGTCATTAAAGAGGTGGAAAATATATTAAATATGAAAATAAAACCAGAACAAAAGCAAAGCGCTGTTTAAACTTGACGCCACCTGGCGGTCTCTAGTGTCTTGGCCCTGTACATCATAATTTTCTTTTAACAATAGAGTCATGTCAGTCTTCTATTAACTGCTTTCAGGGGAAAAGTTTTGAATTGAAATAATAACATGACTTCTGGTTTGCATCAGAAGTTTGTATATAGTTAATTGGGGCCTTTTCCCCCTAAGGTTTCCATATTTGGTCTCTCCTTTCAACCATCTAACTTTATTCTTGAGATTAAGGAAAGATGGACAGACTAACGACAGTGGGAATTTATAGGTCTACAATTTTTTCAAATTGCAGACCAATTATATATTTTTTTAAGTAATTGTTGGCTTGTCATATGTGAACTTTTTAGACTGTTTTGCATGTTTTTGCAGAGGCATAGCCTCTAATAAAAGGTTGTCTCTTCAGTGTTCCTGGTGATTTGATATGGTGAAAATGTAGACATTTTAGTCTTTTCTTCAGAATTTTGTTTAACATATATATGTTTGTTAAATTAATGATGTTTTAAAATGTAATTTTATACAAGAGTTTGTACAATTTTGTGAGAAAGGATTACTGATAACATTTGTTTTTAATGATGTATATGTTGATATAATGTACCAATAATGTTTAATATTTTAAAGTAACAAAAATAACAATATATCCAAAAATAGATCATTTTAATTTTCAATAACCTTTAATAACAATATATCCAAAAATAGATCATTTTAATTTTCAATAACCTTTATGCATATATTAATATACAGTAAATTCCTAATTATCCGAGCTAATGGTGGGGAGAGATGGCACGGATAATCTGAACTATAATTATTTATTTCTAAAATACAACATGTAGATTCGATGTAGATTCACCTTTTTCAAATTTTCCAATTAATGTTAGTTTTTGTTTTATAGTATGACTTTCTTTCTATTATTAGGCATTTTAAGGGTACTTATCTGAAAATTAAAAAAAAACATCTTATTTTACATAATTTTACACTAAAAGTATTTGTGGGAGAGTTATATCAAATCTTAAATTGTAATATGTATTATAATATGCAACTAAACGAAACTTTGTATAAATGTACTCACTATCGTTTTCTCCTCTGAGAAGAAATGTCCAGCTTGAAAGAAGCAGTCTAACTAAAACCAGTCCAGCTGACTTCAGATACACCCCCACCACCCGCTTCAAACATCTAAATACGAACACGTGCACACTTATAGGATGCATAAACATGAAAGCGAGCAACTATTTTAAAAATACATACACATATAATTATTTTTTTAAAAATTAAATTAATGCATGGATAATCTGCACACGGAAGTTTACTGTATTAACTTTCAGGTGTATGCTCATACAGTGTGCATAGTGGATCTTTTAGTTTGGAGTGCTTCTGGCTTAGTCTCCACTTGTACGATCTATGTATATAAATTGGGTTTTTTTGTCTTGTATTAATAAATAAATAAATAGATTTGTTAATATAAGTTTATAATATGTGTGCATTTTTTTCTTTTTAGAAATTGATATTCATCAGTTATGACATTAATGGCTTCATTAGATTCCGAGTTGGCAAAACTTTCTACATCTGATTCAATTTATAACAGTATTTCAAATTTTGATATAGAAAAGAAAATTGGTAAAGGACAATTTAGTGTTGTTTATAGAGCAAAATGTAAACTGGATAACAGCATTGTGGCCTTGAAAAAGGTTCAGGTAAACTTATATTTTTTTTCATTTATACAGAAAAGATTTTTATCAATTATTGGTGATGATTTTTAAATATTTTAAAATAAATATTTAATTTAAAATTAAAAACTTTTAATCCAAATAATGATATAAATTTTTCTAGACAATGTACTTATATATTATATTTTTATTTTTGAAAATAATTGAGTTATAATATAAATGTAGCTATGTGCAAATCACAAAGGTGACATAGATATGCAAATCATTAAAAGAACAAAGACATACAACAGACACCTGTTTATTCAGTAATGAATACGGCCCCCGTGGGCAGCTATACAGGTTGCTATAAGGCAAAGCATACTATCAATGAGGCAATTAATGGTTATCTGAGGTATCCCTTTCCAAGCTGTGTCTACTGTGATGCACATATTGTCTACAGTATGTGGTGGTGATCCCTGGTGCACCTCATATCAGACAAGGTCCCACAGGTGTTCGATGGGAAGAGATCCGGAAAAACTGCCAACCAGGAAAGGATGTGAATTCCATTCAGGCTGGTGAGTTTGTCATGCAATGTGTGGTTGGGCATTGTCTTGTGGAACACTGTTTCGGGTGCGGTCTGCACCAGTGACCAAACCATAGGCCCACAATTTGTGTGACATACTGGTCCAATGTCAGAGTACCAGAAATGTGTACCTGGGCAGTCTGCCAATAGATGATGCCTGTTGTGAGGCTAGTGCTATGCTTGGCAAAAAGACTGACACACAGTGTTCTCCAGGATACTGCCACACCCATCCATGGTCATCATTTCTTCATAGATAGAGGCAAGATTCATCCATAAACAATACCCGATGCCATTCATTGATCCAGTTGTAATGACGACAATACCACACCAGGTGTGCAGTCCTATGTGGGCGATTAATGGCACCTTTGTGCTAGTTGTCATGCATGCAGCTTGACTTCATGCAGTCTTTTGTGAATGGTTTGGGTGGACACAAATGTATCTGTGATGGGGACAGGCAGCTATGGATGTCATGCCCCATGGTGAATGGGTCCTGATGGTACATTTGAAGAATCTGCTAGTCTGCTCTGTCATGCACCAGTGCAATCCATTTCCTCTTCAGTGTGTTCACAGATGTTTCTATGTCTATCAAGTCACATATTGTTGGATTGTACTCAGGTTATGTCCAACAAGTGTGGCTAGTGTTGCCACCTTTTCAAAATTGCTGACCCGGACAGCAGGTAAGGGTTGTTTGAACAGTTTCTGATGCATGCGCAATGTCATTTTGCAATGCGAAGAATAATGTGCAGTGCATGCTGGTTCTAAATCAGTTATAGTTAGGGACTAGGGAGACTTGGGTAGGAAGTAACTAAATGAAGAATAATAACTACAGATGACTTAGCTCTATTGGATATTGGAGACGTTTACAAATACGAATTGTACAAAATAAAAAAAAATTGACAGGTTGCACATGATATTCCCGGACAAAATTAGTAGTTACCCGTACAGTGAGTCGATTCCCGGACTGTCTGGGTGAAAACTGGACGGGTGATAACATTAAGTGTGGCAACTGCGTCCATTGACAAACTGGTTACACAGCTTCAGGATACAGTCTTGTTCCTCAGCTATTAACTGGTTTTTCAAAACTTTACTTTTTTATACCTTAACGATTGCTATTGATTTAATATAAAAAATTCTAACAAAGTGAAATTTTGATACAGTGCTCTTTTAAGTAACATCATTCTTGTAAAGCACAAATGATTGGATCTTCAATAAATATGAAACAGAAAATTTTTTGTATCTGTTTTTACTAAATGTATGATTTTTTTATTGCAGATGCCATTGTTATTATCATATCACATGATTTTCAAATTCAAACTTGTGTATAGGCTTCATTTATAATTCACATTGTTTGAGGTATTTCAGTTCGTTGTTAAACTTAATTTAGTGCTAGTTTCAGAGGCAAACAAATGGTGGTACTATAAAGTTTGATTGTATTTTGTTTTTATTTAGTTTATATAAAGCAAATACAAGTAATTAGTCATCTATAAATTCATACATAATTTATTAAAATAGTTTTCTTTCTACAAAATGTAGTTGTGTTGTATATTAATAAAGTCAAAATTATACATAAAATAAAATTTATTTGATATTCAATTCATAATGGAGATAATTTCTTCAACAATGGATTATTAGACATATTAAATTGTGTTGTTATGATGTAGTATGAAGAACATAATGTCTTTATGAAATTAAAAATTTTTATGTTGTTGAATTATTATTATTTTTAAAATAGTAGATTTATATTTAAAAAATATTTTATTTGTATAAAATTCATTTTGACTTTGCTTAAGTCTTTGACTTGTTACATAAATGTATTAGAAGAATAATATAGTGATGTTAATAAAAGGTATCAAATATCTGACAATCAGATTTAATTTTTTCTTTATTAATACATTTGACAAATCGTTATATTTATAATTTTCTTCTAGGATGTATTCATACATCTAAGAATTTATGCAAAATTAAGATGTATACATTGAATTAATATATCTTTTCAAACACATTGTGTTATTCTCTAGTCCTTGAATGTCTGGATATAAATAAAAAAGTTTGCCAAGTGAATTTGCAGAATTAAAATTTCANGATTCCGAGTTGGCAAAACTTTCTACATCTGATTCAATTTATAACAGTATTTCAAATTTTGATATAGAAAAGAAAATTGGTAAAGGACAATTTAGTGTTGTTTATAGAGCAAAATGTAAACTGGATAACAGCATTGTGGCCTTGAAAAAGGTTCAGGTAAACTTATATTTTTTTTCATTTATACAGAAAAGATTTTTATCAATTATTGGTGATGATTTTTAAATATTTAAAATTAATATATAATTATTTTTAACCATCAACTTTTAGGCCAAAGATCTACGATTTAATAATTAGCTAAATCTGGCCTAAAAATAATATAAGTTTCAGATGTATTTGGCTATTAAAATGTTTGCTGTTTCTGTTTAAAATTAGAATATCATCTCTCATAATGTTAATAACTCTTCAGTCATTATCCATTAATGAATATTCTGAATCTTTCTAATCAAAATAATGAAGAAGAGAAGCAGGAGATGCAAACTATCTGTTTTAAAACAAATAAACTTCAGGTTAAACTGTAAAAGATACTGTTCTTTCTCTAAGCATCTCAATTAATGAATGATATCTTCTAGTGGAACTGCCTCCATCATTTTATATCTTTTAATGTTTAAGTTTTAAATAAAAACTGTGAATATAGAATATTTATTTATTTTACACACTTCTTATATACTATTTTTATTATTTATAATTATTATTGTAGAATTGATTTAATTATTAAGTAAAAAATATTTAAATGTATAATAATAATAAAAGAATATAGTTTACAGTTTTACAACATATAATTGAGATTTAAATTAATACACCAAAAAGCAACTTTAGGAAATATTTCACAAAATGTGTAGACTTTTTATTTTACTAATTCAAATATAAAACACTTTAATAGTCAATATACATTTGTATTTCTTTTTCTATTAAAGCAATTAAACCATCCAAATGTAATTAAATATTTGGCATCATTTATTGAAGATAATGAACTTCATATAGTATTGGAACTGGCTGATGCTGGAGATTTATCTAGGATGATAAAGGTAAATGAATTTAAATTATATTGTATAAAATTAATTTTTAAGTTTGCTTATTGTTTATTTTTTACTTGGAAATATCATATAATTTTATTTTCATTTACAATTGATTTTTTTAGCATTTTAAGAAACAACAAAGATTAATTCCTGAAAGAACAATATGGAAGTATTTTGTTCAAGTTTGTGGTGCTTTAGAACATATGCATTCCAAAAGAATTATGCATAGAGGTTACTATATATTATATTAGTATACAATAGATTTCATTGTTATAATAATGAAAATTCTACACTACAAACATTTATATTTCAGATATTAAACCTGCAAATGTGTTCATTACTGCTCAAGGTGTTGTTAAACTTGGTGATCTTGGTCTTGGAAGATTTTTTAGCTCCAAAACAACTGCAGCTCATTCACTAGGTAATTATTTTTTATTTCAGTTGATGTAAATACTTATACAAACATATATAACAAATTTACATTTTGTATAAATAACTTTTTACAGTTGGAACACCTTATTATATGTCTCCTGAACGAATTCATGAACATGGTTATAACTTTAAATCTGATATTTGGTCTTTGGGGTGTCTTTTATATGAGGTTAGCTTAATTTATATACTATTTGTTAATATTAAGCTATGTGGCTTAATATGGTGATTAATTTAATTTTGTAAATGTTTTTGAATTTATTTAATTAGATGGCAGCTTTACAATCACCATTTTATGGTGACAAAATGAATTTATATTCTCTTTGTAAGAAAATAGAACAGTGTGATTATCCACCCCTTCCAGCTGATATTTACTCTCATGAGGTTTGACTTTTTACTTATAAATTATTCCATTATAAAACTTCTGATTTAATTTTTTCCTGATTGAAATTATGAATTAGACAAATCCAGCTGAATTTGCACATTTTATCAATTTTATTTATTGTTGCATTTAAAAATAAACTATTTAGTTGTTAGAATGATTTCTGTTATTATTTATAGTTGAAATAATTGCTTAGAAAAGTTAATAAAAACATTTTAAAGATTAATTTTACTTTATGTTGATTTGATCTAATTTTAAATTGGAGTTTGTGTTGAATTTATTTATTTATTTTTTGACAATTTTTAATTTTAAGGTTAAGATAATTATTTAAATAATGGAAACTATTATTTTCAAGTTTTGATTCATTTAATTCAATAATCAAATTTAAAAAATTATTTTCAGTTGCGGACTTTAGTTGGTGACTGTATTGATCCTGATCCGTCCAAGAGACCTGACATTACATATGTTCATAAAATAGCCAAAGATATGCAAAGAAACTTCACATCTCCAAGATCACCACCCCCAAATCTATCTACACCATCTCCATCTGTTTCTGAAGATTCGTTGAACAAAGAATTATAAGCTGTAAATACTCTATATCAGTTCTTAAATAGAATAATTAGTAATTAGGAGTTTTCATTCTTACATTCTTAAATTATTTAAAGTATTATTTGAAATTGCTCAAAATGATCAGGGTAATAAGCTTTGCAATTTTTCACAAGTTAGATCCATATGTTTTTGATCCTAGTTTAAATGTTGGGCTAGTCATCAGATATATCAAAAATTAATAACAGAAATTTATTAAAAAAATAATATCTGCATTACCTAAATTGTCATAAATGATGATGTATAAGTTAAATTTTTAAGCAGAAATCCGTCCAAATTTAGGAATTGACTTATATGATGGATGTAAAATGAGAGTTTTTTCCACATAGTGAAACAACACTGAACATTTGCTGTGCACCTATTATCTAGCTAGCCATTATAAATATTCCAGCTAAAGTTCATGTTTGGTGAATGTGTTTAACATAGATATTAATATAGTAATAAAATTTTGATATACATGAACATTACTATATCATTTGTTGTTTTCAACTTCTGGTATGCTAACCATACATCATTGATGAAAATACAGAGCTTGAGCAAAGGCACACCGTAATGTTATACTATACTATAATATATTTATATAGTTGTTCTATCATGATATTATGTTATGTAAACTATTAATAGTATATTGAAGGTATTCATTTTGGCTTGAATATATTTATCAATAGACCTAATTTACAATAGAGTTCTACCCAGATAACTTAAGATTTTTAGCATTTGCACAGTGTCCTTTGTATGAGTAAATTCTATTGTCCACATTCCTTTTGTATGAGCTACATAATATATTTATTATATATTGAAAAGTATTATGGTACTTTCTATGTAGACTACCTTATATCATACCCATACTGTATTATTGGTGGTATGTCTACACCAGAATTTTGAACTGAAAATCTTGAGGTTGACTTATACACTGGGTCAACTTGTATGCCAGCATTTATGGTTATGATATTCAATCATAACAATAACAAGTTATTTTTCCATACTTATCAATAATCGTTTACTATATTTTCATATATATATACAGTAGAACCTCGATTATCCGGACTAATTGGGGATGAAGGTAGTCCGGATAATCAAAAAAATACTTTAATTTGTCTTTTAATAATAATACAACGCGTTTTCTTTTTGATGACATATCGGTAATATTAAAAGTAAATACTGTATTTAAATCGTGATCAAATTTTCAAGAAACAAACGTTCGTATTGAATTTGGACTACTACTGACCAACGCTAACAGACTACCTATTGTTTAAAAGGCCCTCTGGTGGCGCAAGAAGACGGATTTTATAAAATAAAAAGCAGTTGAAACTGCATTTTTATGAATAAAAATTTGACAAACTATTTATCGTTTTATGACGAGTAAAATTTTTTCGTCGCGTTCGCGGCTTTTAAGTAATGCATAAACCTTCGAGGCGCGAGGCCCTTCGGACCGCGAGGCATAGGCGGTGGCCCACGTCGTCCATGCCTTACGCCGCCCTTGGTCATAGAAATGATGTAATTTGAATATAAATTATTTATAAATACGTATGTCAAGTTATATTTTTATTACGACACAAAATATATTTAAGAGTTTACGGCCACTGTGCTGGGTGAGACGTTGTTGAAACAAAAAAAGTTATGCATTCCATCACGTACATAAACAGTGTCGTAATTCGACAAGTGCAAATCAGCAAATTCGTAAAATTTTTGTTTATTTTGAACGATCCGGATAATCGAGAATCCGGATAATGGAGGTCCGGATAATCGAGGTTCTACTGTATATGGTTATGATTGAATATCATAACCATAAATGCTGGCATACAAGTTGACCCAGTGTATAAGTAAACCTCAAGATAAGTCAACCTCATATATATATATATATGAGAAAAACACTTAAAAGTGTAAAAAGTTGTTCTAAAATAATATCAGTTTATATTCTATAAATTATTGATAAAAGCGGTAAATGTTATTTTTATTCAGATTGAGAAATCTTGAAATTAAAAATTAATTTCTTCTATTAAAATGTAAATACTGTAAAAAAATCTTACTGTAATGCAAATGAATATTAAATTTTTATAATATAGACAGATCACCAATTTTCCATTATCCTGGAGCCATGCTCTAGGATAATGGAAAATTCATTTTACTAGATCAACTAAGTCATGCAACAATAATTCAATGGTACACTGACCCATTATTTACATCCTATATTTCTAAAGTTCTATGAAGTATTAAAATCTTAAATAAAATAAAAACTTAATATTTGTTTAATTAAAATTTCTTATAAATTTTACAATAGGGAACTAAGTTAATTGAATTAACTTACTTCACTGAATAATCATTCAGTGAACTAGTGTGATGATTGCAGGAATTTCAAGTGTGCTATTGTAATTTTGTTTGGATTAAATAAGGTAATGGAAATTGGTGGTGTATACATTTATTTCGTTTATAATAATGATTGAATGTTATAATGCAATTATTTTAGAAGTTTAATGAGAACTCAGCTATGAATGAACACTATGGTAAATACAAATTTTTAAATTTATCATTAGTTCAATCAGTTTTGAGAAAACTGCAGCAGAGAGATTTAAAACATAAATATTTAACTCTGAATTATTTTTAAAGTATGCACAAATTCATTTTCTATAAGAGTTTATATCTTGCCAAAATCTTGCATGTTTTTTCCTTGTTCTTGCACATTCCATTTTTCTAGAAATAAACATATCAAATAAACCATTGTAAAAGATATATGCTTATATAATTAATTTTTGGATATTTATAAATAAAAAGTAAGTAATTAAATACTCAAAGAATTTAACTGAAATAAGCAAAAAAATTTGTTTTAATTTTTTAAATTAACATTTAGGATTATTTTGTACTAAATTAATTTGAATTTTGTTGAAATGCATCAAATGTGTTTTATTGTGTGATTGAAAGTTTTGAATTCATTATATTTTTGTACAAATTAAAGACAAAGTCGCTCTAAAAATTATTTCAGATGATCACGAGATGTCTTTAATTTGTACAAAAATAATTATTCATCTGACAAAAATTCAAATTTATTATATTTATTAATTCAAATTGTATATAAATATAATGATCTACTTATAACTAAGAAACTACCAAAGAAAATTTGTTAAGATCCTGAACTAATTTTTGATGATCTGACTTGGATTAAGGTCCTTCAAAATGACAAGGATGACACATTTAGTACTTGGCTGTCTAGTCTAACTTGGATGTTCATTTATAAAGAATAATTTCATAGATAACTCTTAAAGGAAAACTGTCACCTTTAACTATTTTAAACAAATTTAACCAACAAATTAATATTCTAAATATGCCAAATTTGTTTACAATATAAATATTTTCATATCTTTTACATCGTAGTCTTTGATTCAGGATGCATAACTATGAATCAAATACAATTTAGCTAGTTTTTGTTGTTATAATGATTTTTTTAAAATCAATTAAAAGTTATAGTTATATTTTAGTGTTATAAAATGTAATAAAAATTTGTTGTTCCTGTAAATCATTAAATTGTTGATAAAAGCAAATATTTAATACTATACTACATGTTACTAAAAATATTTTAATTAATTTAAATTATTCAAAAATAATTAAAATACAGTTAATTTTAATAAAGTTTGTTTAAAAAATATTTTTATATAAATGTTAAAAGAAATCTTAGTATTCAGCAGAAAATGTTTGTTTAATTGATGTTTGGGCTAAAAAGTCATTTTCAAGTTCTTTAATGTACAATTTTTAAGCTCTAATTGAATTAATATATTTTTGAAACTCTTACAAATGCCTTATAAAATGCCTTAAAAATGCCTTACGCAAATATTAAAATGATTGTTCTGAATGTATAACAACTTGCTTTGAATTATAATACTGAAAATATTACCATCTATGCACAGAATTTAAGTAAGCTTTACAAAATCGTGTTCAATAGTAATAGTTATTCTAGTCTTACTTTTTAAAAACGAACAAATTTTTATTATTCACTATTGTAAAATTCAAATTGTATTTTTATTGTAAATGTTATTGTTAATGTACATAAGATTGAATATATTTTATGTATTATTGCAAAATTTATTAATAAAATTCTTATGTAAAATGTTTTTGAATGCTTTATAAATGTTGTTTATATTTTATTCATATATTAAATAATTAATAAACTATAAAAAAATTTTTTAAATTCAAATTTAAAAATGAAGACAATTCACATAAATGTTGAAAAACACTAAAAAGTCAAAATGATTCAGTGAATAAAAAAAGGAGCCGTTTGTTCTTTTTCACAAAATAGGTCCTATTTATAAACCATATTGTCGCCCTAGTGTTACGATTAGATCATTTTTATATCGTCAAAATATGCGATTAAAGTTGAACATAAACTATTCCTTGATTTCAACAGATTTAAAGCTATCTGTAAAAAATGCTTTATTCTAAATAATATATTTTGTTTCGCATGTTTTTATATGTTTTTGCTATTGTTATTGGTTGTAGGTGATCCTCTATCAACAGAGATCCTTTTCTAAAGAAAAACCTTCAATGAGAATTTGAAACATTTAATTCTTCAAACCAATAACGAGCCTTCTCCTAACCCTTACAACCTTCCAAATTGTCGTTCCGTTTTTCGTTCCAAATATTTTTTTTTTTTTCATTTTTAAACTTTTCTTTTTAACATTCTTTTTAAATTTAAATTTTAAACTTCAGCATTTTAGAACAATAAATAAATATTAAATATATAAAATTACTTGTCCTGACTGACTGATTCATCATCACCGAGAGCAAACCGCTGAACCTAAAAAGGTGAAATTTGCTACACAGTTAGGGTACATCATGAAAACGCACACTAAGAAGGGATTTTTCCAAATTCCCTCCCCGCGGGGGAAAGTGAGAGCATTAAGGCTTAACCTGAAGAACGGCTTCTACTGTACTATTTTAGATGCGATTTTTTGTTTTCAACTACGTTTAGTCTTCATCGAGTACTTAGGTATATTAAATTGATAACATTTCAGACATTGTTATAAATATTTTTATATATTTCGATTTTTTAGTCAGATGTTCGAACCGTTTTAAATTCGAATTTGTTATAGCATATTGGTTCGATTATAGAATGATTATAAACGTTCCAGAAAATTGATCAAATTAAAAACAGTTCTTTTGATTCTCAACAATTCTCAGCGGTAGGTGTTATATAACAACTATTATGGTTGTTGAAATACTGAATATAAATGGGTTAGCTTCCAAAATCTGCACGGGCAAAGTCGCAGGTAACAGCTAGTGGCTTATATATTCATTTATATTCAGTATTTCAACAACCATAGTAAGTCAAGGGTAACAGCTAGTTAATATATAAATATAAATCCGACAAAATATATGCCATAGAGTAACATATATACGGATCACGGAACGGGGGGAAGCAAGTGGATCCGATATCACTACATTGGTATTGTAGCGGAGTGGTATGTATTGTCCCCGAGACATTGCCAAATTTGTCTATAAAAATAAAATAACAATAGAGTGTAACTTGCCTACAGATGTATTGATATGAAACTTAAAACGGATTGAGAAAGTATTGAAAGGTTTAGGGGAAAAAATAGGCTAATATACAAGAAATACAACAGAATGAATGATTTGTAAGATGCTTTTGAGGCCCAGCCAAATGACCCTGCTGGTTTCCTGTGAGAGACCTTGATTACAATAACAATAATGAAATTGAAATATTTTCGAGTTTATTAAATTCGGATCTAAGAAATAGTATTGGCTACATTTTGAATTTGGTATTAAATCTAATCAAATATAAAATAAATTTTTTTCCGAGTATCTCGAGTAAGAATCGAACCCGAACTCTTCTGATGGAAGCAAACTAAACTATACATTCCGTATATTATAGGCTTATATACATATACAGCATATATCCAAATATACCAGATAGAAAAACCATGCGCGTCACTCTTTCAATAATAATGTTTCGACTAAAATTTCGGCAACGGTGTATGGATCGCAATTAGAAGAAGGTCTTCGATCTTCTAGATAACCACATTGCTGTTTCTCTACGTGACAAGGAATTCTGATGCTGGCCGAACGATTTGCCACTCCATATGTAAATTCCCCAATTCGTGAAGTTTCGTGAAAACCAGTTAATCTTCTTTCGTTATCTTTGCCCGATTTGGGATCGTATGCTTCAATATGGCGGCGATGATTTCGTGATAGGAGTTCTATGGCTTCTTTAATAATTCTGTATATAATTTAATATAAATGTATAATTAATAAAATTAAAAATAATTATTAGTTTTTATGCCGTAATTTTTTCAAATTAACAAGTTTAGGAATAAAAATTAACTGATGTAAAAATAAGAAAATTGATATGATTGTCTTTAATTTGTACAAAAATAATTATTCATCTTTTATTTTGTAATTAAAAATTAATGGTTTGTTTTGCTGAAAAGTAATAACTACAAAATACGAAAACTATTTCTTTTCATATTTAAATAAAAATTTTAAATCTAAAACTAAATTCATACTAAGTACTATTTTTGAAGCGTTAATTTCAGTACTAAATCAATTAACACTTCAAAAATTTCAAGTACCACAAAATGTTTGAATTTTATTTGTCTATTTATTATTGCTATAATAAATGTTATTTTATAATTTTATTCTCAACAATATAATTAATTTATTGAAAATATAATAATAATAACTGACACAGATTACAGCTTCTTAGAGAAAACGTTGTTTGTTAAGTTATGGCAACGTAACACTTGGGCGATCTGCCTAGGGGGATGACTTCCGGGAGGTCTTTTTAAGGAAAACTGGCCCCTCTTTAGGCGTTACAGACGTGGAGAAAACCCGGAAAACTCCACTTGACCAGCCTGTCCGAGCGAGGCGCGAACCCACGACCGAACTCCCAGTGTTCAGGGTACGAAGACTGCTTAGGCTACTGGTGGGCCTCCTTAGAGAAAGTGTAAAATTGATTTGAAGATGTAACGCGGTTTTTAACTACAGAAGAGACTGGCAAAATATATTCTGGGAGTGATTATCTCAGAGGCCCATGGAGAAGGCCCATATTAGCGCCTCTGCTAATGTGTCAAAATTTGTCAGAAGACCCATAATTCTTGTGGAAGGTCTGGCAGAGTTCATACATTATTAACACTAAACATATTTTTATAATTTAACTTAATTACAATTAATTTATAATTTGGAGTAATTGAATACTCGGAATTTTACATTATATTTTTCATATATCCTGAATATGAAATTTGATTTACCTCAAGCCATTTGGTTCTCTCATTGATTTAGTACTGAAATTAACATGAGCTCCTGCACCATTCCAGTCACCTGGTACAGGTTTGGGATCAAAAGTCACCATAACTCCAAAATCTTCGGCTACTCGATGTAATATATATCTAGCCATCCAAAGATCGTCTCCTATGCTAACTCCTTCGCATGGTCCTACTTGAAACTCCCACTGAAAAGAATAATTTACATTAGCAAATTTCCTAAAGATCTGAGGCATATTTTTCAAACATTAAATTATTAATAGTTTTTATATTATCATAAAATATAATTATTTAATTTTATTTTTAATGCTATACCTGACAAGGCATAACTTCAGCATTTGTTCCAGCAATTTTAATACCGGCATATAAGCATGCTCTGTAATGCGCTTCCATAACATGTCTTCCGTATACATTATTAGTGCCAACTGCACAGAAGTAAGGTCCTAAGAATAAAATTATGATTTTCTATATTTATAAATTATAAAAGAACGAAAAATAAAGAAATAAATAATAATATATTGCCAATAAGATGACAATAGTAGGTTTATAGCCTATATTTTAATATATAACTTCAAACAAATACAGGGATGCATATTCAGAATATAAACAAACCTTATTTTTATATCAGAAATTCAGTAATAATTACTGTTATTTTAGTGTAAAAACTAACATTAAAACACATCAGTATAACCGAACTTGAACTTTGTGTGTTTGTGTATCATGAATATCGATAGAATATTTTCTTATGACTAAAATGAATTGCTTTTCATTCTTTCTTTTGATGCTCAGTCACTTGCTTGGACATCCAAGAAAGTGATTGACTTCATTAGATATAAGAAACAAATTGGATGATTCATTTATTTTCGAAATTGAATTTATCATCCAATTTACTGTCTTTCAGGGATTTCTGTCAAAAGAAATATCCACATGTTCCTCTTCTGTTCTGGGTATAATACATTTTTTAATGATTTTTATTTCAGTCATGCACAATTACAAACAGGAAAAGACAAAAGATAAAATAGCGCTTTCGTTTTATTACAGTCAAATCAATTAATGTTTGTTTGGTTATAGCAACGCAACACTTGGACGATCGCCTAGAGGGGATGCCTTTCGAGAGGTATTTTTAAGGGAAACTCGGTCATTGGCCTCTATTTAGGAGCGGAGAAAACCCGGGGAAACTCCAACGTGACCAGTCCATCAAAGCAAGGCGTGAACCCCATGTCCGAACTCCCAGTGTTTAGGGAATGAAGACCGCTTGGCCACTGATGAACCCGAATCAATTAATGGAAGTCATTTATGATAATTCATAATTTTTATTTTTAAAATAAATTTGACTTTATTTGACTTGCACTTTTTAATTTGATGTCTTATTTTGTTTTCAAGTTAAGTGTTTATAATATTTTTTAATGAGCTTATTAATTTTTATAAATGTATGTAAATGCAGTTATAAACAACGTGACATCTATTTATAGTTATTATTTATTAAATAATTTATAAAAATATTTTGCAAACATTTTATAAGTTTAAACTTACAAAAGTGCTTATTTCGAATATTTTTCAGTTCTATTTAGGATTTCTTGGTTGCCTCGTTTGAAACAAAGTATTATAACTTTATATGTTCCAAAATGATATAAACTAATACTTTGATGTGATCTTATCTACCATATCAGCGATTCAAATCTGCTTTAGAAAATACAACAGCAAGTTAAATTTAGGAACTATTAGGCCTATTATTATTTTAGGAACCGTCTTAACAAATAAAACTTTTTAAAAATATCATAACATTATTATTTTAACAGATTAAAATAGAGAAGAATACCTTGAGGTTCAGGATATCCTCTTTCAACCCACCCTAAAGGACGTCCATTCGCATCAAGAAGAGTATATTCTTGTTCAATACCAAACCATGGTTTCTCTTCCTTTACCTTTTCTAATATTTCTTTACACGAACGTCTTTTATTATTAACTGAAAAGAGAATTTTTTCGATAGTCAAAACAAATTAAAAAATTAAAAAATATTTATATTTATCAACAAATTTACCAGACGGTTTTTGATCAAGAGTATAAGTTTCACACATAACAAGCTTATTGCAACCTTTCAGAAATGGATCTTTATACATGGCCACAGGGTGAAGATACATATCAGATCTACTAGTTTCTGCTTGGTAGGTACCACAACCAGCAAATTGCCACAATGGAACATCTGGAAAAACAAGATTTAATTAATTTAATAAAATTATTGAAATAGAATAATATAGACAACAAATAACTATAATATTGTTTATACGAGTATATAGGCCTATATATATATACACATAAATTATAATTGCATGCATTGATAAAAAGAATTTTAATTTACAAAAATTGGATAAAATGATTTTACCACGAACAGTTTTTGGTACAAAGTCGAGGGTTTTGGTTTTTCCTCTTAGTTTTTCTCCAGTGCCATCGATCCAGACATAAGTTATTTGACAAATACTTTCATCCAAAGGAAGTTTTAAATATCGTTCTAAAACTTTAAAGGAAGCGAGTGCAGCATTTGCTAAATAATAAAAAATAAATATTTAAATAAAGAACACATTTTTCATGTTTATATTAAAATTTTTAAAAAACAGAATAAGATTTACTGAGAAACATAGACATTTTAAAATGTATAATATAAAATATAATAAATTTTAAAAATATATTTTATTATACCTTGCATTTTAGTTGTAGAATTACTCTGTCCTGTATAAGGGAAAAATACGTTTATAAATTGCTTGGATAAACATTCATTAAAATGACGTAAGAATAAGTACTGTATATGTATTCCTTTATCAAGGACTTTGTCCTAGTTGATGGACATACGATATTCCAAATGACCCATTAAGAACGCTAACTCTTTCATTCTAAAACTAGAGCAAACCTTCTAGATATTTAGTTTAAATACAGCTTTTCGGGAATGTTTATTAATTAATTAAGTATAACTATTAATAGCTTTAAGGAACAATGTTTAAAATGTCTATTTCAAGAATTTGAAAAACTTTAAAAACGATAATTGAATTGTTTCATTAAATTATTTTGTTACTCAATGAAACTTATCAAAGTAACCGGAAAATAATTGCAACATCATTTTTCCGAAATTATAAATGTTTGGCGCAATTTGTAAAAAATAATTTCGTGTTATGTAACTTAACCGCATATGTAGTGACATTTGTAACCCTTTGGTCGTCATTCAGGGGAGTCTAGGGATTCAAAAATGTGTTTTCCTATAACCTTATAAAAAAGTTTTGTAAAATGATTAGTGTTTCTATTTGTATATATAAATTGATCGACCAATTGCATTTTCTATCCTCAGATCAGAAAAATATATCCGCGGTTAAAAAAGAAACAATGTTTGACGGTACTTCCATCGAAGTGCCAGAGTGAGGAAGAGAGAGCAGGAGTTTTTCGATGAAGAACAATTGACCGTGTGACAAGTGATGTGTTCGCGTATCGTGCAAATGAGAGAGAGAGAGAGGGAAAGAAATTTTAAGGAAAAAAAAAAAAATGGAATAACATCTACATTTTTAGAAGTGTAAATCAGGAAGTACGCACTTCAGAAATACGTTTCTAGAAGACAGGATACGGACTCATCTTGAGTCCGTATCCTGCTTTATTCGTCAGTGTTCGAGTTAGAATTGTTAATAAATTACGATTTCATGCATAGAAAGATGGTGTGAGAGGACTTTAAGTAAGATTCTTCTTTTCTTGTTTACGAAAAGAAGAATTTCCCGATGCTTCATTAAAATGCCTTATCATTAATTTAAAAAATCTTTAAATTAAATCACAAAAAATATTTTATTTAATAAAATAAATAAATATACAAAATTGTTATTTGTATATGTTATTAACTTTTAATAACATAAATCTTTGACATTTTATATATCGTGCCCAGATGGTATACGAATGAGTCAAATCCTATTACATATACGGTACAATTGTGCTTACAATATATTTCTCTCCATACTTGTAATCGTACCATCAGGAGAGTAATCTTTTAACAAACTAAAGTTGATAAAAAGTTACTTCAGATCTTTGAAGAGTCGAGAACGATTAACAGGACTACACTAATTTTGCTGTCTATCCAAAAGTATTAATTTTGAAGACATAATTTACCAATTTGCAATAAGGAAAGCTTGAAAAAACAAACTAACCTAAAATTATTTTTGATGATAACGAACAATTATTTTATTGTGACAGCGTCATAATGCCGGGCTACATTTTTTAATCATATTTTTAATTTATTTAAATTAAAACATATGTCCGCCACCCGAAATTAGTAGTGTCTTGCCCCTGTACATCATACTTTTCCTCTTCGCAATTGAGTTCTGCTAGTCATCTATCTAACTCCTTTCAGGAAAAAATTTTTAAATTAAAATAACGTTACTTCCAATTTGCATCACATCGGAAGTTCTTATATAGTTAATTGAGGCCTTCTGCTCTTATGTCGAGACCAGATATGGTCTCGGCTTTCATCTATCTCACTCTGTTATTGAGATTGAGAAAGGACAGACAGCCGGACGACAGTAAAAATTTACAGGTTTACAAGTTTTTCAAATTGCAGCCCAAAAAGTTCTATTATTTTTATAGTAGTTTTGTATTTATAATTATTATTTTTATAGTAGTTTTGTATTTATAATTATTATATGTAATTATGTTTTTAACGAAACTGAAACTAATTGAATATTTCCTTTAATTTTTAATATTTTGATATTTTGCATATTATATTTCAATACAACAGAAAAGTGCTTTTTTTTTTAAATTTGTAACAGACTAATGAAAGGCTTATCCAAAAGGGCCACGTTTAAGTTTTCCCCTGATGCCAAATACTCTAGCAACGACCCTGTTGTATAGAATCTTTTAAGATAGCCAACAAATAATCAAATTTTACTTTGGTCATCCGAAAATAGTTTAAATATTTTTCAGTATGATATCTCAATTCTTTATAAAACACACGAAACTGGTCTTCATTTTATCGACTTTCTATAACGTGATGAACCAAATGAATCATCCTTCTACGTCATTGCTTTCGGCGTAATAATAAGAAACGCAAAGCTTCTTCTTAGGAATTCATTTTTGTACTAGTGATTAATAAACTGAATCTGAGTTAATGAAGTCAGATTCAGATCTCTCGGAGACGTTCACAATGGCGACCGCATCTTTGCTTCCTATAAAGACGTTTATTCTTATGGTAAGTATCGATTTTAAGATTTAAGATGTATTGATTTTATATTTTCGAAGACTCAAAATGTTTTAAGTAATTATTAAATAATAAAAAAACCAGTCTAAACTGAATTTTGGATGAATAAGAGGTGAGGCTTAATTAAATTATCGAAAGAAAATTGCGTTGGTTACGCTAGTTGTTCTTGATACTGCATATAATTTCAAATTATAACTTAACTAACGATCGTAATATATTAAATGAGACTGGCTAAGTTTTTAATAATTTGTTATTTAGATATGTATAGGCTAATCTCACGTTATAAAGGCATACATTTTTATATTTACTTTTAGATAATTTTACAAAGATTAGAAAAAATGTTAAAATATTTTTATCATGAGAATGTTGTAAAATGAGATAGTTATTTTTAAAATAAAAATTATTATTCTAAATTAAAATTTAACAGTTGATTTTGTCAAATAATACTAACTCTTTATTATAATGTTTCATAGAAAATTTTTATTGCTTCAAATTTTAGTAAAATATAGTTGAATCTTCAATAAAGACACATTTCTTTTAGAAATGCATACAAAATAACCTGCAAACAACGGCCATTTTTTATATTCCCGTCGGTATATTGTATGTTTAGATGTTTGACTGTGTTTATTTTATTCAAAAATTATAAATTATATTTCCTGTTATAATCCAAATTAATAATTAATAATAAGTACTTTAAATATTACTACATAAGTTTTAATTATTTCATCTTCATTTAGTATAAAAGGAATTTATTAAAGAAAATTAAAAATTGAAAAATAAATTTGAATATTTACTTATCTGAACTTAATAATTTATGACATTAGTTAATTACAAGAAATTCGGATAGTAGATTAGTCATTAATTTCTTTTAAAACATTGAACCTATTAGTTCTTATTTTAACAGTTTTGTAATGTTAATTAGAGGCTTATTTTAAAATGCACTCAAACCTCGGTTTTTGAACTTAATTCGTTCCTAAAAGTTGTTCGAAAACCGATTTTCTCTAAAACCGAAACAAATTTTTCCATAAAAAACAATACAAAATTAAATTATTTTATATTGTTTCCAAAACAAAACAAAGCTTTTTCTTAAACCTTTTTACCTGTATTTCATGCATAAAAATGCCTACAAATGCAATATATTATAAATAATATAATATTATCTATATCTACATCTATTCTTTGTACTGTATACTGTATATTAAAAGCAAAATGTTCTGTCAGCGCTAACCAAAACTGAAACCGAAACTAACACTTTATAAAAAGTGCTATAAATACAGTAGAGACTTAACTCTGACTGCATGGATGAAATACTGCATAACCAAATCTATCAAACGGACAATAAGTACACACATTCCGAAATATTATGTTTTAATTATTTAATTTTAATTTTAATTTTAATTAATTAATTTTAATTTTATTTATAATTTTAGTTTAGTTTCAGTTTAAAGGCCAGAGTTTTAATTATTATTTTTAGTTTTAATTAACTGGCTATCTAACACTAATAAATATTAAATATTAATATTATAATATTAAGCAACGTCATCGATGATTCGTATCGTTACGTCTAATAACGCGAAGTGATCTCGGCGCCACTAACTTCTGGATCGATTGTCTTGTCGTTGATTGGTCGGACCGTCGACTTTCTTTAACATAGGAAGTAGCCTATAGGGAGTTGACCATTTGTGTTTCTTTAATCTGTGGTCGGCTTTTGCCGAGTAGCTTGTTCGGAAACTGGAGTAAAAAGCAGTTCAAAAATTTGTTCGTGAATCGAATTGTTCGAAAAGCGAAGCGTTCGAAACCCGAGGTTTGACTGTATTTGAAAATGAAACATTTTCATATCTACAAAGAACGAATAAATCTGTTTGTTTTTGAGTTATCTCAGGTTGCATTCAATGTGTTAAAACTGTTAATCTAGCTTAAAAGATTTAAATAAGGAAAATAGTGGAAGATCCCGTTAAAATATGACTCTTTCCTCGAAAAAGGAAACGCTACAAAGCAATTGTGATAATAGTTCCTTGTAAATCTGACTCCCAGTTACTGGAAAATTGATGGCTCACCGATGGTCGTATTCACAACCAAGGATCAAAGGTTAGTTAGAAGTTAACCATGTACTTTATTTTTAGTATGTGAATGCTTATTGGTTAACTTTTAACTCTTGATCCTTGGTTGTGAATAAGGACACAAGACAGATGCACTATACTTCTCGTGCCCATATTCGTAACCAATGTTTTTATTCTTTCCATCCACATTTTCTAATGAGAACCATTTGCTTTTATAAGGCCTAATATAATTGTGCAATATTATAATATTTCATTTCAGAATAGATTAAGCAAAGTTATCATGTCATAAAACACTGTATTCTTATATTAAATTGAAACTTTTTGGGGATCTGTCCCGGATATGAGGGGTCCTGTCCCTCACGCCCCGGCCGCCCAACCGTGGGTCTAGTTGAACTCATGATGGACAAAAAAATGACTTGATAATTTTAAAGTAAAATGCTATCTTACATTACATATCTAAAAATATAAATATGAAGCCGGACTTAATTTTTATTCGATAAAATAAATTTTCGAATATTAGAATTATTTATATAGTTTTAGTTGGTAAAACAAAATATAATAAATTCATCATACGCAATAATAAAAGTAAGTAATTACTTTTAACTGATTCCTTTAATATTTATTTATATAAAATAAGAAATAAACATAAATTTAAATAAGATTGTTTTTATTAAATGAAAAAAATTACACTTTAATATTGATATCAGTATGATAATTTTCATTTGATTTACTACAAGAAGAATTAATACAGTTTTTAAATTTTAAATTAAGTTACTTAACAATATTACAAGACGAATTTAGAAGGATAGAGTGTATGGACTAATAATCCTATCAGCCCAAAACAATGAGGAAAACATAAAATAAGCAAAATAATCTTCACAGTATTAAACTCTATCAAATTAAACTCATCTCTTTATGAGATTATTCTTTCAGAGAACTTTAGATTTACTTACAGGTTGAATCACTTAATGAATAAAAAACACGAATATGACTTTTTCTAAAATTTACATTATAAAATATTATATATTACATTAATAATTCTGATTTTTTAAAACAGTATTTCAAAATACTTTTTAAAAATAAATTTATATACAATTGTAGATAATTAAATACACCAAAATGGAATAATAATTAACATGTAAAAATAATTAATATTTAAATTTAACTTTTTATAATAATTATTAATATTAATAATTATTATAAAATTAATAATAATTATTAATTATTAATTTATATTATTGTGATAATAATAAGTGAAGCTGCATTAGTAAGATAGTATTTTGTTTGTTTCAATGTTATTTACTATCATTCCATTCTTCACTTTTTCATAACATTTTTCACATTCATAACATTCTTCACTTTTTCAACCATTTCAAATCCATCACATTCCAAAATAGATCTTGATAATGAGATCAATTCACAACAATGAAAGCTTTTCCTAAATATATAAAAATAATTTATTAGTATTTTATTAAACATACAATAATATTTCTTTAATGTTATTAATATCTTATGCTGTCAAGTGTCAATACATCTTTTTAATATTTAATTATTTCTGTAATCATTATAATATTAAATTGCTAAATAAAAAAATATATAAAGATAAAATAAAATAAATTTACTACAGTATAGAATTTTAACAGTTTTTTAGATAAATTAATCTCTTTAATGATATTTCTTTGTTTACAAATTACATATAATAGAATATCAAGTACTGTATAATTTATTTTGTTTGAATGAGAAAAATAAAAATTAATTTTTTGTACCATATATAAATATCTGTTTTCGAACGTAATTCGTTCCTAAAAGTTCTTCGAAAACCGATTTGTTCTAAAATCGGAACAGATTCTCCCATAAGAAACAATATAAAATGGATTAATCTGTTCCTGACCCCAAGCAAAGTTTTTTAAGCTGTATTTCATGCATGTTTACAAATGCTTATTATATATATATAGTGAAAGCAAAATATTCCATCACCGTCAACCGAAACCGAAACTAACACTTTATAAAGAAGTGCTATAGACTCAATTCCGACTGCCAATATGAAATACAGTATAACTAAACCAATCAAAACGAATAACAGGAAGTAGGCTACTTTATTCACCCTTTCCGAAACATGTTTCAATTGATTATAAATTCCCATTGTCGTTCGTCTGTCCGTCTTTCCTTAATCTCGAAAATGGAGATAGATGAAATTCAAGAACAGATATGGAAACCTTAGAGGCAGGAGGTTCTGATTAACTATATAAGAACTTCCAATGCGAACCGGAAGACACGTTATTTCAATTCAAATCTTTTCCCCTGAAAGCAGTTAATAGAAGTTATCAATAATAGAAAGCAGTTAATAGGCACAACTCTATTGTTAAAGGAAAAGCATGATAATACAGGGGCAAGACATTACTAATTTGAGGTGGCGAGCATATATTTTAAATTAAATAAATTAAAAATATGATTAAAAATTTCAGCCCGGTATTGTGACGATGCCACAATAAAAATTACTGGTTTTAATTTAAATTTAAATTAATTTCTTTATTTTATTTTTAATGTTAGTTTCAGTTTTGGTGTAAAGATCCGAGTTTTATTTATTATTTTATTATTTTAGTCTTAATTAACTGGCTATCCAGTATTAATAAATATTAAATATTAATACTGTATTATAATATATAATATTATATTAAATTATCTTTGCGTTGTTACTATGTAAAAAGTAGCTAACTACACAAATCAATAAAATTTGTTACATTTAAAATTGATCACGTTATTGGCCGTTAGCTGATTGTCGGGTAGACTCGGTCAACACTACATACTCTGACGTATGTGGGAAATTTTTGTGATGTATGTATTGCGTCTGATTATGCAATCTTGACAACTTAAAATGATTCATTTTAGTTATAAGCAAACATGAATTTCATTAACTTAGGCAATTCACATAATCATTTTTATTTCCTTTATTAGGAATTAAATCATCACAGTTGAAAAATGTTGCCTTGTTTACTGTTTTAGATCATACAATTTTTTTACATTTCAAATACAGTTTCATAAAAGCTTCATGACATGTTACAAAATTAGAAGAGTTAAATTATTTTAAGAATAACTGATAACTACACAATAAAGAAATATATTAAAATTTTTTTAAAAATAAAATACTGTATTAACGATACAAGTCTTGAATATTTTATTAAATAAAATTTCTATATTCTTTCATATATATTTTTTTCATATAGTCAATATTTAAATGACTCGGTCAACACTACATACTCTGTCTAATTCTGTCTAAAAGCTTAATTTTAAGAGCTTTGATTATAGATCTGTTTAATTATCTTTCTCATTTATACAGGCTGTATTCATACATTTTTAGATATAAAAGAATAAGTTATATAGCAATATATGTAAATTACATATAGCTTACTACATATACAGTATATAGTATCAAAGTATGTACTGTACACTATATAAAGTTGAATACTCATATCAGAGTAAGCTACAATTTTATGTAAGTATAGTTAAGTTAAAACTACAATTTCGATCTGTACTATACTGTACTCAGTGCCTGATTAGCCTATCGAATAGGCTGACTACGCTGTAGCGTAGGGCGTACGAGTTTTCGCTTAATCTTTTTTTGGTCTGTTAAAAATGATGTGTTGATAAAGAAGTGGAGAGGTTATGTTTTCAACAGTTTACCAGAACTAATTCCACTAAAATTGGTAATTTATTATTACAAAACTATAAATAATGGAATTACGTCTTTATTTACCAGTTGTGCATATTTGTAATTACGTATAACAAATAAATTTAAGAATATTATTAAAAATTAGAAATAATTTATTTTTAAACTGTTCAATAAACTAAACAGCTGCATAAGAGTCATTAGCTGTATATCATCTGGTTCATCCATTACATCAGTGGTGCCGAAACTTTTCGAATGGCAGACCAAACTGTGCATAAGTAATAGGCGGGTTACAAATATTTTATATATTTCATATATACAAAAAATAAAAATATAAATGAAATAAAATAAACCTATTTCTATCACTTATAAGTGAGATGTCAAATATGTTCGCTGGCTGGATTTGATCTGGGACACTAATGGATTATACAATATCTCGAGCGGTCAAATGTGAAATTAAAGAGATTAGTGTTTTCTAATATTTTTAATAATATAAAAAATAATAATGTAACTAAGAGACGATGTGTTCATGTTTATTTCTTACTTAAATGTCAAATTGGTTTTAGGTTATGTTAGGCTAAACCAGTGGTTCTCAACCGGTGTGTCACGAAATTTTCTCATAGAAGAATAACAACATTTAAAAAAAATCATTTTAAAATGAAAAGTTTAGTCTACTTTTTAGTATTATTTGTAGGCTATATTTTTTATATAAAAAACTGCAATCCTTAAAGTTACATTTCGTTTATTATATATAAGACGATGCGATGCTGGTTCGTCGGTGTGCCACTGGCTCAAAAGTTGAGAGCCATTGAGTCAAGAGTTAATACTATATTAGGAAGTTTTGAATGCTTTACATTTTTATCTACTAAATATTGAATGTATTCACCCTTCTGTTCGATAACCATACATCACCTGACCGGTAGTTTTATAATTCCATCTGTGTAGAATTGGATGGGTTTCTGATTGAAGAAATTATTGATGTGATTTTTGATACCTTCTAAAGATTGAAATTCTATGTCATTTAAATTATTCTGCAATGAATGAAAAAGATGATAGTCTGAGGGAGCAATATCTGGAGAATATGCATGGTGACTCAAAACATCCCAGTTAAAGTCTAGAAGTTCTTGGCGCATGTTTAACGATATGCGTAGCCTCGCATTATTATGATGGAATACCACTCCCCGTCGATTTGAAAGTTCCGGATGCTTTTTATGCATTGCAGCCTTTAGTTCATCCAGTTGGAGACAATATTTATTGGAATTAATCGTTTGGTTGTTGGGTTAAGCTCATAATAAAAACCCCTTTCCAATCCCTCCAAACTGAAATCATTACTTTTCTGGGATACAAACCAGCTTTAGGTTGTGGCACTGGAGGATTACCTGCTTACTCCAAGATCTCTTGCATTAAATGTTGTAAGCAATTCATTTTTCATTTCCAGTTATTAATCGCTTTAAAAAAGGATCATCTTCATTGCGTTTTAAAGGTGAATCACAAACAGAAACACACTCAATAAAGTTTCGTTCACTTAACTGATGAGGAACCAAAACATCATAACGGGAAGTGTATCCAAGGCTAGCCAAATGTCTGACAACAATGTTTAGGATATTTTTAAGATGTCGCTATCTCTCGTGTTGTGTTATGCCGATCAATTTGAATTAAAGTTGTTATCAGAGCTGTGGAGTCGCGTAAAAATCTACCGACTCCAACTCCGACTCCGACTTTTCCTTACCATCCGACTCCGACTCCGACTCCGTTTCATATACGTAACAAGTTGGTAAGTAAAAAGGGAGTCGGAGTCGACGGATTTTTTGACAACTCCGACTCCACAGCCCTGGTTGTTATGGACTCATCTACGGTCGAAGACCGTCCTGACCGAGGTGCATCTTCCAGAGAAAAATATGCCCTAAATTTTGAAGACCATTTCTAGCATGTTTGATCAGTTACTGCATCCTCCCCATATACAGCACATATCTTTTGAGTTTTTGTCACTTTTTTTTTTGGAAATAATAGAGCATGAGATGTCAAAAATGCACCTTCTTATCTTCCATTTTAATGTATCTTTTTCTTAAAAAATAACAGAATTTTAAAAAATAGCTGTAATTAAACTTATAAGAATGCAAATACAGTATTTGTAATGTCCACCCAAACAAGTTAAAACTTGAAAAGCACAGCAGTGGCAACACAAACGAGCGATTATGTAAATACCCAAACCGATTCAACCCGATAGCATACACTGTGTATGTTATTCGAGGATTAATGTTTTATTGTGACAAATGTTGAAAGAAAAGCATCATATTTTGTTTTTTTAATTCAAAATAATATTCTTGATGTACTGTCAACTCAGATATACTATAAGCTTTCTATAAAACTTTGTGATTTCATTGTTAGTCTATTAAACACACTCAAATTTTTCGATATTGTTTTGTTTTACATACGTTTAACATTATCTTAATTTGCGCTTGTTATTCTATGAATTAGTTCTGTAATTATTAAATATAGCCAACTAATATTTTCATGGGATAATTATCTCGTGTATGTAATGTTTATATAATATATTAATTAAATGAGACTTATATTTGATAGCTTTTATAAGTTAAAAGAGCTTTAAAAAATGCATTTTTTGTTAACAAAATGACTTATTTATAAAAGCATTTTCATAAACGATTTTGCTAACAATCATCAGTATGTTACAATAAAAATTATCATATATAGAAAAAACTTTCATTATATTAATGTTTGCTTGTCTAGTTATTGATTTTTGAAATTAATTCTAATCATTAATTCCATGGTACTGCTTACAGATCAAATCTAATATAAACTAAGGCTTAGACAACTTTCTGTGCTGCTAATCCTTGCTTTGGGTAATTGGACTTTTTCCAGCTTTGACTCTTTCCGTCTTGTGGGTAGACTACTAAGGAGGTCTTTTATTTCATATCCATCACTAGTTTAGCCCGCCTCACCACTGGGGAAACGGACAGTTTCCCCAGTGGTGGGGCGGGCTAAACTAGTTTCATCCATCATCCATGAAAATTTTGAGCTGACCCATATATGAACCCTGGTCTACCAAATAAGATGACTAGAGCATTTACATTTCGGTAATTCGGTCAGTAGTTGACTGTTATTAGTCATGTTAAAAGCCACAACTTATAAATCAGACTAAAAACATTTCAAAATCACTTCTAAATCTGGTCATATGCAATAGTGTCTCGATATACTTGTAGTGAACTGTAAAAACAATGAGTGAAAACATTCATATATTTTCCTATATCACGAGTTCACTAAAGCAAACCAAGAACTAACAAAATCGTTCTCTATACCGGATAATAACTATACGAAGAGTTCACTGTACTTTAAACATAAGAGATTCCTTTAAGAATTGAACACAGTATAACTGTAAAAAGTCTTTTTAATAAGACCAAACTAAAAATTAGCAATAAGGGCTGGATTTGATTGTTCTGTCAACAACTTAAAAGAGGTTTATAAGACAATTAAGCAAACTTGTAAAGTTCTTTTATAAAAAAAAAAAAAAAAAATTGATAACAAGCTTCTGAGTTGTTCTTGGTGTCGGCTGATTGTCTCTGTAGGAAAGACATTGAAAGTTTGCTTAATTGTCTAAAAAACCCCCCTTTAAGTAGTTATCAGAATAATGTAAAAATCTATTGTTTTTGAGTTTGTTAAAACTTAATTAAAATTAAGGAAAGAATTAATATAAGACCAAACGACGAAACGTTTTTCAAACAAAGTTTCACTTTATGATATTTAATAAAGCATATAATGTAATAATAAACTACTTAATTAATAAAGTATATTATACTGTTATTTAATAAATATAAAAATAAACTATTAATTTAAAAATGCTTACATTACTGTTACATTGCAGTGATGCTGTTACGATTTTCTTTATTTAATATAATTTCTTGTGTCGTGCAGTGCTTTAGATGGTTTTTGCTGTTCAAGTGTTGGTCATAGCATTTGTATCCAGTAAATGTCTTTCTACAAGGTTCACAAAATACATAATTTCTGGAGTATTCATCTTTAAATACAGGAATATTTGCATTTTTCAATTCTTCTTTATTTTTATGCTTTTTACTTCTCATATGTTGATAATACGGAATTGGTCCAGTAAACGATTTTTCACAAGTTGAACAACATTTATAGTTTGTAATTTGCATGGCCATTCTGAAAAAGAAAAATGTATTTAAGATTTTAAATATAGTGAATGCAACATTGTTATTGTGTTTTATTTACCAATTAATAAAATTTAAACAAGTTATCAAAACAGTTTCGAAAAATGTAAGAATTATTGAAACCATTATCATTTTAAATATCGTTATAGATTTAGTGATATTATCTGTTTTAAATTCATATTGTAATATTATGAATATACCGCATTTTCCCGAAAATAAGACCTAACCGGAAAATAAGCCCTAGCATGATTTTTTCAGAATGCTCATAATATAAACCTTACCCCTAAAATAAGCACCGATTAAGATCGTCAGCCAGGTGGTCATATTTAATACGTCCGTTGCAGCCCACGACGGACGTATTGAATTGTGAAATAAGTAGAAGATGAGCCCGGCGTTAACGCAAAAAACCGCATCTAAAATAGTGCCGTAGAATCCGAGTTCAGGGTAATCCTTAAACCTCTCCCTCTCCTCCGCTGGGAGGGGGAATTTCGAAAAATCCCTTCTTAGTGTACTGTACATTCTCACGACGTACCCTAACTGTGTACCAAATTTCAACTTTCAACTCCTGACCTTTTGGGCTCTACGCTTTTATTATTATTATCAATCCATCTGGATTATATATATAGGCCTATATATAATATTAATATATAATTATATGAATAAATATTATTATTGACATTAATACTTAAAATAAATGATAATATAAATTATAATTAAGTATTTGTGAATACTAAAGCGAACGCCTTTGGACGAGACATCACCTGAAAATAAGACCTAATGCGTCTTTTAGAGCAAAAATTAATATAAGGCCCGATCTTATTTTCGGGGAAACACAATATTTTAAATAATTTTCCAAATTTCGTTCATAGTTGGTGACAATTTTTAAATATAATATATTTAAGTTTATTATTTAATAAATTTAATGATAAATCTTATCATTGAAGCGGAGCGTTAGAGAAGCTTCTTCTATGAGACTTAAAATTCTGTTCGTTCTCGAAATCCATTCGATAGATTTTGATTAAACTTTGCCATTTTCCATTAATTACAATGAGGAATCCAAAAATGCAATAAAAATTAAGGTCCATGACTTCTTTTTCGAGATATTAGGTCGTTTTACGAGCTCGCGCGACAAAGCGATATCGTACGAATCGCGCGAATTTGTCGTGCGATGTCTCGCAGTCGCTAGCACGTCTTGGTATAGAATCGAGTTCGTTCTCAAAATTTAATGGATTGACTTTGATAAAACTTTGCCATTTTTCATTAATTGAGACGAGAAATCCAGAAATGTAATGTGGGTACATTTAAATGTAAAAAAATCCACCAACGAATCACTTAACTTTCCCGGCAACATTTAAAATTTTCCTGGCGCTTTCTGTTACGATATTTCATTTAAAAAGCTGTTTACATTTTTAATTACTATAAAATGTCAGAAAACTTAATTTTTAGGGTAGGGATGAGTTTTATAAAAAACAATAAAAAAATTGTAAGTACAGTACTAATAATGAGTAAAACCGTCACAAAGTCCAACACTATTCGAGATATGACATACTACCATCCTTTATCATCCCACCCCGTCGACCTTAAACCACGAAAATTTAATAGCATAAATCTTCATAACACACAAACCTTCCTGCAAAATTTCAGAAATTTTCGAAAACACAGAATTTATTAAGCTTCAAAGATGGTGAACAAAATCGCGCCACACGCAAACACACACGCACATTAACATCCATACATACAGAAAAAACTCCTGAATGTTTTTGTATTTCTCGACGTTTCAAAGTCCCCTAAGTCCAAAAATGTAAAAATCTTGGGGGGTCATTTTTTGACCGATCGCCCTTTGTTATCTATAACAGAGCCAGGAAAGTAAAAGCAGGAGTCCATGACTTCGTTTTCGATGTACAAAGGTATTACAGTGACAATGTCCATGCTCTCTGATGCTCGAGCGCACCTAACGAAATTTAGGCTTGGGGGTCAAAAATAAAAACAGTGTTACGTGCGCCTATAGGAAAATAGGCGGGAAAAATGAACACAACACAAGAACAAAGCAATCGAAATCGATTGGTTTGTTCAGGCCACGGGAGACACGATCTTCGATTGGTTTGTTCTTGGATCGTCTCTCTGTACCTGGCAATGCAAGGATCGTGTCTCCCGTGGCCTGCAAGCACGATGATAGCCTCTTTAGTGGCAAGTGCAAAGTTCACCTGTCCGCGTCCGTCAGGTACTGTACCAGGATCGCCTCTTCTGTGCCTAACAGGTGCAGGGATCGCCTCTTCTGTGCCTAACAGGTGCAGGGATCGCTTCTTTCCTCCCAATTCTATCGCAATTCGACAAAGTCGCGCGATGTCGTAGTAAAATTTATTACGAGTTAACTGAATTTAAATTCGAATTATTTCAAGAAATTCTAATCAGATTTTATGATTTAAATGTATATAGTTATTTAATTATACAAACTATTATTTTTAAGAATTTTAAGTTATTTTATTTTTTCAATTATAATATAGAGTGAACATTATAGCTGCAATTTTAGAGTACTGGCAAACAATGGAGTTCAAGTTTTCATTATTACAGCAGTATGAACACTTATTGAGATAATGTGTAGGTGATATTGTTATAAGTGCTTGTATTTTATTGTATTGTATTGTAAAATTTTGTATTATAAAATGTTGATAAATGTATTATGTTGTAAAGTATTAGTGAATATATCATAAATACAAACGTTACACAGTGACTTTAAACGTTCATAAGATAAGTTTATAAATGTTATACAGTAGGCCTATATGAAAAAAATTTTACAAAGTAAAATATTTAAAGCAATTATATATGAATAACACAATTCACCATCTACATCTGAATATAATCACATATTGATATAATACATTTGTAGCATTATTTTCATGAGTAGAACATAATTATTTTTCATTAAATATCATTATATTTTTCAGTTATGTATTTTATTTTTATTTCACTTAAATAATCATAAAATAATATAAAAACATCATAATAGCAAACATGATTCAAAAAAAATATACAGTATAAATTCTAATTATTGTAGATTGCGTAATGTATCAGTCAACTAGAACTTATCTGAATGAATAGTCGTTTTCATGTCACGATATCATAAGAAAATCGTGACGATCGCATATTATTCTATGAATAAAATAAATCTGAATGCATTATACTGTATTCAGAAAATTGTTGACTCAAATTAAATATATTTATGTATTTCATGTATAGCCTATAAAAATATCAGAGTAAGTTGACTATAAATATCGATTTATTGATTGTATTTAGTAGTTAGTGAAGATTAATTATAACAATATACGCTTTTTAGCCTATACTATGATTAATCAATTAAACGATCATAAATACAAACTATTTGATTATAAACATGAAAGTTTATAGGCATTGACTGCTAAAAATACTGTTTACATAAAAGTACAACCAAAAAATCACTAACCAACTTACATTTAGAAGTTGTTTGGTTTACGTTTATAACTTAATAGTGAAATATAATATTAAAGTAATATTTTAATATTATATTTCACTATTAAATTTATTAATATTTTATAACTTCAATGCACGATCATTCCTTTCAATTTCGATTATTTATGATTCTCAACGACGTTACTAAAATACAGGTTAGGATATTCATAGAAGCAACTTAATCATGAATTTGCCACTTCGGTGTTATGCAAAAAGGCATAAATATTTGACGAAATTAGTATTTATTTATACATAGATATTATTTAAAACGAGTAAAACAGAATCCATAGTAGCCGTTGATTAGCTTATTTAATTAATTTTATTTAATCTTTTAAAATTTGGAACAACATTATTTAATACAAAACGATTTACATACTATAATATATAGATGGAAGGCGAAACTAAATATGTAAAGCGTAGAGGAGGAAGCCCCGATTAACTATAGACCTATATAAACTTCCGGTGCCAACCAGAAATCTCGTTACTTCAATTCAAAATTTTCCCCTGAATGTTGCACTGATTAACATTTTCTTTTTAAATGTCCCGAACTTAATCCGATAAACGGAGGAAATGAGGTAAAGTTGTTGTCTCCAGGTCAAAAAGATACAATTAGCAAATCTAAAGCTAATCCACTACATAAATGTACAAATTAATATTGTGAGATCTGAACGGTCAGGGGAGGATCATTTTAATTAAAATAATAAGTTGGAGAAAAGAAATTAAAATAACAGAAAATAATATTTTCAACTTCAACAAGATTTTATCTAAAATCGGAGGAAACATCAGAATTTTTGAAAGGAAGTTGATTTCCTTTCCCAGGCTTACTCGGGATGACTCAAGTATTTGCATACGTTACGGAAGACCAAATAAAAGGGCCATTTCCCCTCCATTCGAGGCAGTCCGACAAAGAAAGGTTGCCATATGCAAGAGTTGATATACGGCAGAAGCAGTCCTTCGAAGGAAGTTTGCCATACAGAATAAGTCCGACATTCGATAAAAGGGCAGTCCGTCAAGGAAAGGTACCCCCGGCTAATCTCACAATATCAATCTTAAGTGCGTGTTGCAAATAATAGTATTTTACATAAACGATTGTGCCATTGCGTATTAAAATACAGATACAACACAAAATAAATAAAATATATCATTTTCTATTACTAAATATAATTTTTATTAATTTAAGAAAAATTTGTATTTAGAACTTAGACATAATAACAAATTATAATCACGCTTTGTATTAAGAATCACAAAAATATGTTCATAACATCCATTTTAAGAAGTCTTTAAAATATATACCGGTAATACAGTACATATTTTTAAAATGAATTTTATATACTGTATCTCTAACATCAAGTTAATTTTAAAAAATCTAAGTAGGGTCATATTTACACTTATATTTTAAGCCATAACATATTTAGTATCCTATAATAATAAATTTAAAGAATGTCTAGTGGATATAAACTGAATTAACAATATAATTAAAGAGGCTTCAGTGGATATGTGATATTATATAAGTTTAATTTGTAGATGTCCTACATGAATATTTTTTGAGGATAGAAAAAGGCCCTTCCTATAGTTATACTTTAAATGTAGCTTATAAATAAATTCAGCCATTGATCTGAGTTTTTACATATTTTTTATACTGATTTATCTACAATTTGTTATGATAAAAATTTTTAAGACAAAGTTCAACATTATAATATATAATCAAATATTTAAATTACTTATTTATTAAATTAATAATATGAATTAACTTTTTAAAAAATAGAAAGTTAAGTTTCTAAGAAATGTCATTTAATTCATAAAAACCACAAAACGTTCTTAAAAATCATAAATTCAAGTGTTTGTCTTATTTTCTTCTACATAACACTGAGGTAGTGTTTATTATTTAATGGTTTTCAAATGGCTTAACAACATTGTAAATAAAATCATTACTGAAAATAATTATAATTAATTTTTATTCGATTTTAGAATTTTAATTTTATTTAATATTTTAATAGAGTTTATATAATGTTTTGCTACTCCCATTTGTTTTATAAATCCATTTGATCTGTTTATAAGACACACAAGTCAAGAAACAAGTCTACTATCTAAAAATTTATTTTGATATATAAAAATTAAATATCTAGCCTTTTTCTGTTGTTATATTTATCTTTTTACTATTTATTTATATAAAATAATGGTAAGAATATTTTGTAATTAGAAAATTGCATAATATAAATGATAACGAATGTTCCATCATTCATGAAACCAATGATTGGGGTATGTTTGTCTAATCTCCTAGTTTATTATTATTTCTTTTCATTTATACCTAAACATTAAATTGATAAATTTAAATTTTTGTGAATAATTAAATAAAATTCTATATACAAACTTAATATAGCAATTTTGTTGATCATTTTTAGATGAAAAGTATATATTTTCATCATTTATATGCTATAAATATACTGTAAATAACGGTGACGTTTGATAGTAGGGAAGCTATGTTTCCATAAAAATTATAAATAAATACTGAAAATGATAAAAATAAACAGTTTATTTATTTTATTTCTACAATAGGTAGCCTACATTGACATAAAACAAAATATATAAGAACTTGTTTATGAAAATAATCGCAGAATATGTATTTATATTTTAGAAAATACAGGGAAGTGGTACTTTCACAGCGTCCATGGACTGCACGCCACTGATATTATAACATACAAAACTTGCTTACAATCAATAAGAAAACTATCGAGCTAGTCCAACTTACAGAACGTTAATTCAAAAATATATAAATGCGATAAATATTATTAAATATGTTTTTCCTTCGCACGTATTTTTGAAAGATACAGTACATTAAAACGTCACATCAGCTACCTATAAGCTAACACTGTATATATTTTAAGTAATTTCGTTAATACATGGTATTTTTAATATTTTAAAAAACAGACATCCAAAATATAAACTGTACTTAAAATATACGTAAATTATTTTATTTTCAGCTATACATTATAATTATTTATTTTTAATAGTAGGCCTATTATTAATTTATCTTATCCTGTTACCATAAAAAATTACATTTTACAGCAAAATTATTAATTACACATAAAAATACTGAATTATATTTAACTGAAATGAGTTTTTATTAATACTGTATTAACTTTAGTAAATGTACTTAAATAGTGTGAAAGTGTTTTTATACGACACGCTGTATTTCGTAAAAAGTAAACTCGTATTTTTTACTTTATCACTTGGTATTAAAATAAGTATATCAGAGAATTACTTACCTTCATTTAAACATGTAGAATTTAATAGTAAATAAGAATTGTTTTTCAGATCGGCATAGTGCATTGATAATAAGTCCATAAGCGAGTGAATTACGCTTGTGGTATGTGAACTGAGTATACAGCGCACCTAGTGTCTGAATTACGTTAATTGTTCAAGGACACTATAAGACAGCATGACGCTATTTTGGTTATTTTATTCGTCGTATTCTGCTGTCTGCTCTACCGTTACATAATATTATTGTATTTACTTATTTACTCAATTATGGTATTTGTTTAATACTTAATCATTTTTATCTTACGATATTATTTTTATTTTTTAAGTTATTGTGATATCTTACTACAAAGTTCTACTGAATTAATAAATACTTACAAGTTAGTACATCAGAAATTGTGTTTAAAGAGTACAGTACCGCCATTAGCCATTACTAGTTTTTCGCTACTACAGCTAGGTAGCAGCATTATACAGACATAGGATGCGACTATGCAGACGCGAATCAAGTAGCGAGCGACAGTTCATGCAAAGGAAAAACCTGCACAAGCGAGAAGCGAGAAATCTCGCTGGCGCGAGCGAAATTTTGGTTCTCGCAAATATCTGACAGTGTTTGATATTTATTGCGTCTCGCTTCTTCTCGCTGAATACTGCGCATGTGTCTAGACACAACTAGAAGATGGCTTATCATATCTTTCGTCTACTGTATATAGGCTATAAAAAGATTTTTTAAACTATACATATACATAAAGTAATATAAATTCTGCTTTATTAACAAATTATAATAAAGTTCTTTATCCTTCCGCTATTTCCAGAGAGGAAGAACACCGTATTTTCGTTTTTTTTTTTGTGTGTTTATTATGAAGAAATTCTAATAACAAAATTTTTCTTTGCTAGTAGTAAGCAATGTAGTCAAACCATTTTTATTTTTACTTACATACAGTGCTATAGTTCACGCTTCTCTGTGACGAGTTCGACGCGAACATGTGACGTTATCATCTCCACGCCACTTTCTCCCGTTCGCTCTCGTCGGTATAGTCATGCTGTAATCTCGCTCGCTCGCACATCGCTTGGCAAATCGCTCTCTCGCGTCTGCACAGTCGTACCCATACGCAGAAGAATATTATTGTTATAGGTCATATACTTTGGAAACTATTTTATTTGATTAGAGTCGTAGGAACCACGAGCCCGAGAAGGTGCTTATTGATATTTAATGCGTCAAAAGTTATTTTTGAGGCCCTAATTCCACTTTGGGGATGAGTAGTTAATTTCAATTTAAAAATTATTATGTCTTTAGTAATATTAGTTTAAGATAAATCGTATTAGTTTCACAATATAAAACTGTATACAACAGACAATCTCCAAAATGTTACCATGTGGCAGTCGTCCAGTACCGACCACTTACTTGTAGTCCAGTACCGACCAAAAGTAATTTGGTCGGTAGGTCTGTTTTCTTTCTTTTCAATTTACAAAGAAATAGCAGAAAGTGAGATAAAGAAGAAAGTAAAATACACCAAAGCTGGCATGAAAATTGAAATAGATGCAGTTCTTGTAGCCAGATCGACATTTTCAGTTTTAAAAAACAACATTAATAAATAGAATGAGAGCAATCCAAGTTGGCAAAAATAATAGTATGATCCCTCAGATGGGTAGATTGCAAAGGACTTTCGATGAAAAAATTGAAAAACAACTATTTCTATGTATGACGTGCTTTTAATCCAATCCAAAGAATTTTTCTTGGTAGACGATCTTACAGCATTTTGGTTAGAAATTACGATTTTATTTTAAAATTTGAACTGAAATGCATTTCGGGTTGGTTTATGTTCCAACCCCTCTTCAGTGCTGTTAAAAAATATACAAATTGTAATAAAGGACATGACATTATTTAAGTATTACTTAAAAAGATTTCTATAATACAAAACTTACGTCTCATATAATGGTATAGGCCTATATTAAAAAACTGTTTCTATATTTTTATCTTCCATAGGCGTATAACAATTCACTATAATATAAAAATATAAATTATTGCGGTTTAAAACATATTATAAAACTTTATACACTTTAACAGTATAAAACGTATTCATTTAAGATTTTCTATAAAACTTACATTTTTCAGTAATAATATCGTGTCCTTTATTACGATTTGTATATTTTTTAACAGCACTGAAGAGGGATTGGAAACATAAGCCAACTCGAAATGCATTTCAGTTCAAATTTTTAAAATAAAACCGTAATTACTAAACAAAATGCTGTAAGATCGTCTACTAAGAAAAATTCTTTGGATTAAAAAGACGTTATATCAATATATAGAAATGGAATAAACATCTACTTTTTTTATATGCAAGATCAGGATTTAAAGTTCATTCATAAAGACTGGGTACAGTGTAGGCCTATTGCATGAAGGGTTCGGCACATATCAAATGTACCGATCAAGATAATATTTTGTATTTTATTTGTGACAATTGTAAGCAGTAAAGTTCAAGTAAATAAAATTTTCGACGATTTGTTCCTGTTTTCCTAGTATTCACTTTTTCGAATAAATGTTATTGTTATTGGGTTATAGTACAATAGTACGCTATTCTAATATTGTCAAAGAATTTTATACTTTATATTTGCTTGAATAAAAATCACTAAAACAATTTAAATTATCATTAAGATCTAAATATTCTTTAGAAAAGCAACTTGCCGGTACTGGACAACAATATTTGCACTACCCGAATTCTTGACTTTTTTAATTTTATAAATAATTAGTACTTGAACAAAATTTTAGAGAAATCTTATCTTGTACTTTATGAAGCACTATTTGAACTATCATATTACTGTTGTAAAATCATATTTTCCTGGGACTTACGTTGATTACGGGCAAAAATATTAAGGTGGTCGGTACTGCACGACTTTTCCCTAAATAATATCAAAAAGTAGACAAAATATTAACATTTTAAAATGAGAAATTCGCAACAGTTGAAAATGTTCATTCTAATCTAATTTTCTCAATTTTTACTATATTTAATGTTCTAAAATAAAATAGTTTAGTTCGTTATTAGGTAAACTAAAAGCTTATATTAATGTTTTCGAAAAACTTACCTCGAAATTAGTAGTTCTATTATCCGTAGCTCTTAACAAAATATATGTTAAAATGTCTATTTATAAAATATGCTAAATTTTAGATAATTTCTAGCAATTTTTGTTTACTTTTCAATTTTCTAAAATATTCTAAATTCTACATTATGTATCAATTATTCAATTATTCTTTTTTTAAATAATTACTACGAACAAATTCTTCCAGTTGACGAAGCCAAAGAGAACTTAGTTAAAATTGTTTACATCCTTTAAACAATACAATAATAGTAATTACAATGTTCTTATGCTCTATCTCTCCTATCAATATTAAAGAATCAGAATACGTGATTAACACTCGAATAAATACAGTTTGTTGTATTTGTTCTTACTCTGAAGTCATTAGAAGAAGCTTTTCTAAAACCGAAACGTTCAACGAATCATTTGAAATTAAAACAAGAATCGTTTTAATTTGATGTAATAGAAAATACATTTAATTTTTAGTGAAATTAAATGTCAATTTTTTAGTTTTATGAATATTACTTAAATTATTTGAACAGTAGTGATGAAAGTGGAATTAATGTAAAATTGATTTATCAATATATCTCATAGTAAAGTCATATATAAATTATAAAGCAATCAACAGGCATAGGCCTATGTATACTGTACCAAGGAATTTAGAAATAGGGTTAAAAATATGCTTAAAATTCTCTATAAACGTTTTTCAAATTCCGTTCCGTTTTACAGATCTGACCTGCCAAAAAAGGTACTTTTTAAATTTTCCGCCAAAATACTAACACTAAAGTTGGCAACTTTATAAGTACTTTTGTACTTTTTTATGCTTCTGTCAATATATTAAGGTAGGTAAATGTTGCCCAAGTAGACCTTACTGTAATAAATGTAAACGAATTACTCCGATTTAAAATTTTACAGTATCCATCTGCTTCACAGTAAAAACAAAACATAAAAATAAATAGTTGAAAAGCAAGAGTTTTTCAATAAAAATTTACTTTGAATACAACTTTATTTTTTTATAAAATTAAACAGAATAATTTACAAGAACTGCCCAAAATTTTCTCTGCAGACACGGACGTTTATTTCTTATAAAAACAATTGAAATTCAATATCTGTATTAAAAAAAATTCATTTTCAACGCGTTAAAAAATGTTCATCATTTCAAAGAAAGCTTCAGTTTGTAGATATTAATAACACAGAAGGGGAAAACATACAGCAGTATCCTTTTGGCAGGAAGTTTAAAATTAGTTTTGGTATGTTTTAGCAGGTCAGATCTCGAAAACGAAGTAGAATTAGAAAAAACGTTTACAGTTTTTTTTTGACCCTAGAATTTATACCTAAAATTTTGACACGTAGTTTTGTTAAACCCTGTACATAGAAAAAGGCATCTGAAAAAAAAGCACATTCGATGTCTTAAGTCCAGAACGATTCAACGAATTTATTCAAAAATTTGATGCTTTTACAATCCTAAGACTGTAACCTGGACAAGTATATGATCCTTGGAAGAAAAAATGTAGAATCATTCAATGTGGTAAACTGAATATTTTAAATTTCATCCAAATCGATTCATTAGTCTTGGAGATATTAACGGTCAAATTTGGTACTTTGTGTGGCTAAGCTCTACTATAAAGCGCGGTAGCGCTTTATGATAATAGGCATTAAAAATATAAATTTATAAAANGTAATTATCCCTTAGAATTTCGAAAGAATAATTTTTTAAAATTTAAAAAACAAAAGTAAAAATAATAATTATTATTATTTACAATTATTTAAAGGAAAAGATTGGGCTACGGAGCCACACACACATATTGTAAAATACATTAAACAAAATAGGAGCATAACCGACATCTTCTGGGCAGTCCTATACACTCGTAGCCATAGTAACGGGGCGGAGACTGTGCTAGGGAATGCCATGTGAGCTACGACGTGGGCGGTACTGAGAAGAAATTACGCTTCTAACAGTAATTCAGCAACGTTTGTGACCTTCTACCTGTACATGGTCGACTGGCAGACTCGAGCCAATGTAATGTGCCATTAAAGGAGATTAGTATCGGGTATATGTTGAAGTACCTCGCTGTAATGGTTTGTGTTATATGTACGTGTCTAGAAAACTACAAGCAACCTCTTTCTACTAACTTTTTAAACTATGTTTTGGCAATTATGTCTACTTTTCTAGTAACTTTAGTTAAGAAATTTTATCTAATAAATTATCTGCTATGTTACTTTACAAAATTACCGTTTCAAATATTGTAAAAAAAATATATAGGAGATGACGTAAATTTTATTTGTTTATTGTTAAATAAGATAGATAAATAAATCCTCTTATCCATTTTGATACGGAACGTCTTGTTTTTCTTTATTTTCTTTTATTTTTCTTTTCTTTAAAGAGTTATTTGGGGAAAAATTGTATATAGACATTTTATTTATTGTTAAAAAAGTCACACGTGTAGTTACTTTAATACTTTTGTTTTATTTTAATGCGTAAATTATAAAATCGCATTTATAGAAAAGTAATTTCACTAACAAACAGTGGATTATAATAAATATACTTTAATCGTCGGCTTCTCCTAGCGACTTCTGAGGCATGCGGGAAAGCCGACATATCATAAACGTAACCGATGTTTATTATTTTAAAAATTCGTTATTTTTCTTAGAATTTTCGTAAAAATTCATTTGACAAACATAATTTGATTCTTTAGAATTATTTCGTAGCCAGTATTTGTAAAAATATATTCAAACAAACGTCTCTTTCTCGCTTTTTTCCGTGTTGTTTAAATGTACTAAATTGATACGCGAGTTGTCTTTATTCAAGATAAACGTAGAATTAATACAATATATTTAATTAAAATATAAAAAATTTCTTATGAAACAATAGAAAAAAATGAATATGATAACCAGAAACGGAAATAAAATTGGAGAAAATATTATTTCAACAGTAAATTTCGCTTAATTACTTTTGTCACTGTCAATCATAGATTATTAATCCCTATTAAAACTCATTAAAATGACAAAGAGATTCATATATTATTTAAATTAAAATTTGGATAAACTAATTTAATTTTAAACAGTATTTTTACTCAATTCGTAATGTCACTGTCAATCATAGATTATTAATCCCTATTAAAACTCATTAAAATGACAAAGAGATTCAATTATTATTTAAATTAAAATTTATTTTATTTACTAGACAACAGAATAAAATTATAGACAGGAAGAAGTTATCTTTTTCTATTTATCTATTCCGGTTTTTATTCTGTTGCTTACGAAATTTAGATACTTCCAGTTTTATTAAAGTTCTTTATAACATGCACTTAAACTAAAATGGTAAGTTTATTAATAATTCTCGATGGAAATTTTCGCACCGAAGTCTATGAGTGTTCTTAATTTTATTTTCATATTTATGATAAATGGTTATTTAATATTAGCGTGCAATGTGGGACCTGACAGTCCTTTCGGTTCTCATTTAATGTCTAAAACTACGTTGATGGACGTTACTACTGATAAATATGGAGAAGACCAAAGTAATGGATTTTATGACGATCCTTTCGCTTATAGATTTACTGTATCATCTACAGACATTGATTTAGCAGATTTGGATAATTTAGAATGTTTTCTTACTCACAAATATTGTTCACAAATTAACCAAATAATATTCAGTGACAAATTGTGTAACTGTTCTCCAGACTGTTTCGTGTATGGAGATTGCTGCTGGGATTCTGTACGAGATAATCTTACAGATCATTCTTTATATGAATGTGTTTCTACAAGCGAAACACATAGTCCTTCATACTATATGGTAACTTATTGTCCTATATATTGGGCTGATAATGAAACAAGATGTCTGTGTGAAAAGACAACTTCGTACCACAATGATCCTTTATTGCACGTGCCAGTTACTAGTACATCTACTTTGACCGTTTATAGAAACATATTTTGCGCAATATGTAATAATATTATTGATATATTACCTTGGACTCCACACGAAATCTGTAATAACGGTAATCACTCATATTTAGTGGAATTTGATCCACCTAAATCATTGCCATCCCCGAAAACATGTGAATGGCGTGGAATTTTCGAATGTCACAATGTTACTTTTCGACAAAAATGTGTTACATATTATGCACCAGTGCAACGTAAGAATAAAAAAGGTATCGAGTATATTTATAAAAATAAATTTTGTGCATTTTGTTCGGGTCTAAAAGCGCATCAACTGGAGTGTACTACGTTGGATGGAATTGAAAACTCGGGTCAGACTGTAACCTCAAACGAAACTGAACTCATACACAGTCGAAGTAAAAAGAAAAAGCAATCTTTGGCAATCTTATTAGATTTAGATTTTAGTAAGGGTGGTGTCATCGTTGGTACAGAAGAAAGATGCCCTACTGGACAAGTATATGATCCTTGGAAAAAAAAATGTAGAATCATTCAATGTGGTAAATTGTTTTATTATAGAAATGGAATATGTGTTAAAAAAGAAACATTTACAAGAAATGCTTTTAATAATTTACAAGTTTCTTACAATAATTTTCTAAATTCTACTTGTTCGAAGGTAAGTTTATTCTTTTAAAATATATTGTAGCCCAAAAGCCAGCAATTTAATCCTTACAATGAATGACTAGCTTATTTATTGATTAGAACAGTGTTTTTCAACCTGTGGATCGCGACCCCCTGGGGTCGCGGATAAAAGAAAAAGACAAGTGTTTGTAGGTCCTACACTACATTAAAAAAACTACAATTTCAGTGAGAAGGCTGTACCTGCTTATTTTACAGTACAATTGGTTTTTTTTATCGATATTTAGGCCTCAACCATGGGTGTAGCCAGAGGGGCCCACCCGGAATATCATAGCTGAAAAAGTGTTGAGCTGATTTCGAAAAAGAAATAAAAAGCAGAAGCTGAAAATCCTGATCCTAAAAAAAAAAAAAAATGTCAACGGCTCCCTGTGCCTAATGTTATGAGTAAAGGAAGTTTCATCCTTTCTCTGTGTTAGGTTATTGTCGATTCTTATGAAAACTTCATTTTAATCAACAATACTTTGTCTCAACAGAAATAAAATTAAATACATAGTTTTTTAAATCACTGATATAGTTTTAATATGGGCCTGGGGGGTCGCCAGAATTTTTTAACTTGTAAAGGGGTCGCGTATTCAAGAAGATTGAAAAACACTGGATTAGAAAATTTGAAAAAATTGGATCAATAATAAGATCCTTTTATTCAATACTTAAAACGCTTTAACACATAAATTAATGATTTTTTTAACAAATAATTGTTATCTGACTTTTGGAATAATCAGGGCTGTGGAGTCGGAGTCGGAGTCGTGGAGTTTTGGTGTTTTGGCCGGAGTCAGAGTCGTCAAAAAATCCGCCGACTCCGACTCCCTTTTTACTTACCAACTTGTTATGTATATGAAACGGAGTCGGAGTCGGAGTCGGAGTCGGATGGTAAGAAAAGTCGGAGTCGGAGTTGGAGTCAGTAAATTTTTACTCGACTCCACAGCCCTGGGAATAATAGATATTTAGTGTTTCCTAACTAATATGTTAAGGATTTTCTAAAAATCCTAATTCACATATTCCTGATAGCATTATGGAACAATGAAATATCAAAAAAAAATTCAATTAAAATAAGTTGGGAAACACTATCTTAAAATAAAAAAATTAAATAAATTATAGAATAATTACAATAAATAATATTTTTTCTGAATTGTAGATATCAATCGATGCCGATAAATTTTCCATACACGAAAATGGGACAATAGTTATAAACAAAGATGGATTAATCATAACTCCAGGAAATTATGAAATGTTACCTAACTCCACCATCCTGATATGTGCACCACAAGTTAACAGTGCTCGGAAGTTTTCTCAAGTGCAAAGTTATTTAACTACTGCATGCCTATCAATTTCAATATTTTGTTTAATAATAAAATTATTACTATTTATATTTCTATCAGAATATAAAAAACTGCCAATGATTATAGTATTTTATCTATCATTATCATTACTTTTAGCTCAGCTGTTGTTTCTAGTAGGAACTATTGGTCCCAGTAATTATTTTTGCATAGGAATAGCAATATTTATGCATTATTTCTACTTGGCGTCAGTCTTCTGTACCAATGCTCTTGCGTTTGATATCTGGAAAACTTTTACCAATATGAAACATTTATCTTTAAAAATTCGTAAAACACATCTTATTTACAGTATTTTATATTGCTGGGGATTACCTATGATAATTGTTATAATTTCTATCATTTGTGAATGGGCATTTCACTCAACGTTTAGTCCTCAATATGGTTCCTGTCATTGTTGGATATGCAATCGTTATGCACTCTTAATATTCTTTGCTGTGCCATTAGGATTAGTTTTGATTATAAATATAATATTCTACACAATTACTGCAAAATCAATTTATAAAACTTCGAAATCTTCAAAAATTGCAAGAAAAAATGCAAAAAATAAAAATTATGTTAGATTCTTTCTTTATATAAAAATTGCATTAATAATGGGTTTTACTTGGATTTTTGGCTTTATCTCTGCTTATTCTAACATGGTATGGTTATGGAATTTTTTTATTATACTTAATGGTCTTCAGGGAGTTTTTATATTGTTGGCATTTACTCGTATTGCTATTTTGAAGCAATTAATAAATAAAATTTCCAGTAGAAAAAATTTTGAAAATAATTCTTTAATGTTAACTTCTTCGAGTAATTAATTTTTTAATAAAGGCATCAGCTTGTTGTTCTGGATATCTAGGTTGGAATACAAATTGGTAACGTCAATAATTTTTCATGAGTGTCTGTTCTGGATATTTTCGACCTTGTCCCTTACCATCAGCCGTTTTCATTTTTATCAAATAAGATTATAATAAGCGGAGTCTTCTGTATTATCAGTTTGGAGCTCACCTAAACTAATAACAATTACAGACTATTAATATTAAGTAAAATAAATAAGATTAGTCAATAGGAGTCTTATACTTAATAACCAATTTCATTAAATTACGTAACAAACTTGTATTTACTTAATTCATTTGAATAAAAATAATAGTTAGTATTACATATAGGCCTACATACATACATACTAACTATTATTAGTATATATATATATTATATATAGGCTATATATATATATATGAAGGCATACATTCACTAAAGTAATCAATGAATCTGTACTACAATGCTCATAAGTTCTCGATTTTCGGCTTGCCTCCAAAAATTGATCGCTGAATGTGAAATTCCTCGGACAAAACTGTTACTTTAACGATGATTGCAACTGCCTAATCTTGCGGCATAGAACAAAGCTTTTTCAAATGTTCTTTCATTTTGAAATGCAGACTATGAAGTGTAAATGCAAGAAGAACGACGCTTTATGCACTTCTAAATGTCATAACTCTTCGAATTGCTGCAATAAATAAAAAAGTTAATTAAAAAGTTTTTTTCGTTTTATTTTAAATTTGCTTTTCACAACTTTAGCCCGTAAAAGTTAACAAACAAACAAACACATTCGACAGAGTATACAATCACTAGTGAATGTGGATTTCTTATTTGAAAATGAACGATTTGAACGATTACATTTACTAGTAATAAATCATATTCACTGTATAATCCACTTTCAGTGTAACATATATAACCACTACGGTTGCAATCGTTTTCCATTGAAGTGTATTGTCTTCCCGTCTTCCTTGTGAATAGGGAAAGCGTAACAGTGAGATATAGGCCTATATCTCACTATATCCTCCTATATATATATATTTTTTAATTATATTTTATTTCTATACTGAAAAATGCTGACATGACGGATAGAAGACGACTTGATTTCTTCAAATTTTTAATTAAAAAAAAATACTGCCAGACATTAATTAATTAATTTAAAATATACTTATTCAATCTAATATTGTGCATTTCATTGGCATCAACACGACCGAATAAGAAACAATTCGAATAATTTTTGCGAGAGCAACATATTAATCAGTGCATAATAATTAATTAATCATTCCGTTACATTGGGATTCATCCCCTCTTTTCTGCTTAAGAATTGTATTTTTTGCCACGCAATACGTTGAAGGTTAAATCCATCCGATCATTCGTGCAATTTGTTCATTATTTTTCTATCTCGAATACTTCTGTGAAAATTCGCAAATAGTTTTCCACAAAGTGTTTTTGTATTCGTGATACACATATGTTCATTTGGGAAATCTCTCCCAACATTCTGTCACGTAGTTTAGCGGAGAGATACATAATATAATTTAAATTTTTCCTGTCTTTTGTAAGCTAAAGAAATTTCTATTAGAATTAATATCAAAGTAATGTAACTATAGTATTTTAATAAATCATTAGTTTAAATTTTGCATTTTTATAATATTTTGATCTAAACATGAACTTCTATAGAATATATTAAGTGGATCTTAAATAGAGACGTGACAAATAAAGCAAAAAGCTTGTAATATTTATTATTAAAATTTACAGGGCTATAGTAAAGAATAGTATAGCGTCTTTTCTCATTTAATATGTTGCTTTGCTAATCAATATGATAAAAAAGAAAGGTCGCTGTGAACTTTCCTAATATTATAAAAACTAGAAAATGTATCAACAAAAAGTTTAATAATATACTACAGAGTGATTCAAAAGTCTCCATACGTGGACATTCCTTTTTTATGCATTTATCAATAAGTCATAGAATATGATAGGTTATATTTGAGCACCATTTACCTAAATGCACGTATAGATGCTTTCCACCAATATTATGGCGAACACATATTACTACAACTGATGTTATGCATACACATAAATGTTTGCTTGGTCTGTATATGTAGTCCATATTTAATATCTTTCAGGTGTTTTGTATGAATAACTATGAAATTTTAATATTATAATGTAAAAAGTAATTTTTTTTTATCATTAGCGCATAGTGTTAAAACATGCACAGTCATAGGCCCTGTCTATAGAATGTAACTTGTAAAACCAAAAATAAAATAGAATTAAGATATAATTTAGTCCACACAGTGAAAGAGTAGACAAGAGTGAGTCTGAGCTGGAAGGATCTACGTCAGATAAAAGGGATGGAAAGAGACGTGGGAGTTGACACACGGATCACAGTAATAAAATTTGTAAAAAAAAAAAAACAGTAAAATTATCTAAAATACAAATAAAAGCGTTTTAAAAATGTAAAAATAAACCAGCTGAAAGAGATCTGATTCATATATCAATTTTCACATCTCCTTCCACCCCTTTCATCTGACATAAATCCTTTCAGCTCAAACTGACTCTTGACCTTCGCTGCGCGGACTATAATTGTTTATTATATACAAAATACAATATATTTCTAGTGAAATATATACATATTCTACAGTTATATACAAGTGTAATAATAATGTAATTAAAAAATAAAACAGTTATTCATTGAATATAAGCATGCATGTAATCTTACTTCTATTTATAAGACCAAATATAAACATAGTTTATTGTAGATCTAGTTTTTCTGTAATATTTACAAATTTTACGAATTGTGCTTTATGCAGAATCGTCTTCATATTTTGTTGGTTCCTGTGTAAAATGTGAATGTAGGGCTTTTTCAACACCGAGGGCTGAAGACCGAGCATTAATCAAGCACGAGTTGACCTATCCTGGAAGTCCTACTAAGCGCGATGGGGTTCTTAGTAGGACGAATGCAAAAGTCGTACACCCATGAAGTCGGTTCTGGTTTTGATAAATATCTGGCATGAAGCTATATATCTATTTATATTTTATGTAATTTCATTATAATTTTTGGTTTATTATTTTAAGCTAGAATTTAAAAATTGCCATGTATTATCTCTATACTTTATTACATTAATCAGTTTTTTTAAATAAATTAATTCTCAATAATTTAAATAAACAAGATAACGTAAATTTTAAACAGTTATTAATAAATGTAATCTTAAAAGTTTTTATTAAATGTATAAAATGATTGGACATAAATGTAGAAGGATATTGTATTCAAATAAATTTTACATTTTTAAATTAAAATATTTCATGAATAATTGTGAGAAATATTAACTATTGTAATAAAAGAAAACTAAGGTCAGGTGTGGAATTAAATTCTTCCTTCAAACTTTCCCACTCCTTTTTTTCACTGTTTGCAATCGAATTGGTCTTTTTATTTTCTCCTTATATCATTTTTATATTTATGTAATAATTATAAAACATTCCGATTTTTGAGACATAAAATTTGGCAATCTTAACGTTTGTATGAAAAAGTTATTTCCATTAGATTTTACACGTGAAATGACGATGGCATTATTTATGAGAAATAGCCAATATGTTTCGATACAAAAACGCAAATGAATCGGAGTTTCGAGATTATATACAGTTCTAGTAATTTGACTCTCTTTGTTAAAACAATAATAGAACAATAATAGTTTTTCGTTAATTTACAGGTTAAACTTTTTTCGAAGTTTTTATCCGTGCAAATGACCTTACAAAGAAAATATGTAGATTTCTTTATTAACAATAAAGTAGAATTCGAAAATACAAACAATTAACCAAATAAGGACATGAAGTGATGCAAAACTTTCAAAATTTGTATAAAAAAGAAAAAAAAAAAGCTGTGGATTACAATAATCCTATCTGTATTAAGAATAATCTTTTATAAACTTACGTATAATTTTTTCTTTGAACTTTTGTACAAAATAAGAATCTATTTATTGATATTAAGCGTTTTAAAGAAAGATTTACATTTTTATATATTAAGAATCCGTTGCGCAATTTTTAATCTCGAGGTTAAACGTAATTTTATCTAGAACAGTTACGAGCAACTCGTGGTCTGCGGGGTCCTAATATGCTGCCCTAGTGGCTTTGGAAACGTAATTTTATTTTCCTGTTTTTAAGCTCCAGTCATTTGCATCCCTAATTAAGATGATATTCTTGACAAACTAAACTTGACAGTGAAGAGATGAGAATAAATGAACAATTATTTGTTGTGGCATCACAATGCCGGGTTGCAACTTTTTAGATCTCGATGCACAATGCTCTTGATTTTAGTTGTTTTGTTCCTATACATCATACTTTTCCTGTTAACACGAGAGTCATGCCTGTCATCTAACTCTGTTCTGGAGAAAATTTTTGAATTGCAATAACGTATATAGCAGGGGTGGGCAAGCAAGAGTTCAGTGGGAGCCGAAATGTAGGTTTTGCAAAGTGCATGGGAGCCGCAGTTCTGTACTTTTTTATTCTGTACTGCAGTTCTGTACCGCGATTTTATTGTATAATATAAATATTATATAAAACAAATATTGAATTTTTTAATAAACATATTTCCACAAAATTGTGGAAATAAAATTGTAAAACTAATAATAAAAAGCAGAAATTAACACTTTCAGCAAGAGCCGCATTTGCCCATGGTGGATATATAGTTAATCGAGGCCTCCGGCTTCTAAGATTTCTATTTCTAATGTCGACTTTCATCATTCTATCTCCATTCTGGAGGTTAAAGAAGGATAGACAAATAAACAGACAGACTGATGGACACCAGTGGACATTTATAGTTCTATAATTTTAAAATTGCAGCCCAATTATACATTATTTGTTTACATATTATTAGCACATATTATTTTACATTTTACCAAATACCTTAGGCACATATTGTACTTAATTCGCTGGAGGTACAATACTTGGCAAGTTTAAAGTCTGAAACTCCGTAAGAAAAAAAAACATATTCGGCCCGCCGGAAGTCTACGAAGTTCCTTTGTAGCCCGTACCCAGAACTATTGCTTATCATTACTGTAAAGTATGCAGAAAACCGACAAAAACGCGTTTCGCTTCGTTTTTACGAAGCAGAATGAAGCGTTTTAGTCGTGAGCAGTAGCGGAACTACTGTTAAGGCCTATGACATGTAGGTCCAGACCAGGCCCTGGGCACTGTTTCTGAGAAACAGTATATGAGAACTTTTAAATTATATAAGAAAAATATTAATATTTTTTGTGTCTGTTCTAACTAGGAATGATTAATTTTAATTAAACGTATGCTACTTATTTTAGATAGCTTTTACACTATCTTTTTCGATTACACTTATCAACTATTCAAAATAGTAAATGTAACTTTTCTGTTTTGAAAAACAACTTGATCTGATTGTAGTTAGCCAATAATATGACGAGAAGGAATATATTGGCTAATGGCGTCACTTATACGAAGTATATTTAACAAAAATAATAATAATAATAATAATAATAAGTTTGAAATTTTAATTTGATGGATGTAGGACCTACAATTTCTTGGGTGGAATTTAAAAAGAGTTTTACATCTTCGATTACTTTCGCTAGAGGAATATCTGATACAAAAACACTATGGGTTATGAAGAATGTATCATTCTGATATGCAACACGAATATCTAAATATCTGTTACCATATACCAATTGATTCCATATTGTTTCGTCTTGAGTCACAATGTATCTGTTCATTAAGTTATCTTTTCTAGGATAATTTTGATAACTTCCAGAATTATGAGTTCTTGGAAGCATCAATTCATCTAAACTATAGTTTCCTATCTAATCACGTAGATTAATCATTCAGTGAAGATGTGCCCTGTAACAAGATGACACAATGATATCCCCTGAGGAAATGAGAGCTATCCAATAGGGAAGACATACATCAAAGTGTCTCACTTACATTATTTATCCATTAATCCAATTATGTAACCAAAATACTGGCTGAACCTTATGCGATTGCTATGATTATTTTTGTAATTCCTTTGTGATTTTCCTTTCATATTATTGCAGTTTTTTATATTTTTGTTACTTTTTTGTTATAATTAATAATTTTTCTTTCGTTCATAAATCTTTTTGCAGATTTCTTTGAAAATGTTTTCCTCTTTTTTGTTCGGTTTGCTTACAACAAAACAATTTTTAATACAATATTTTGTAATATATTTATTTAATGTTATTAATATATTATTTCTCTCTTTACTATAATGTTTCCCTCTTCTGCATAAATTGCATCGCGAGTGAGAATTCTAATCTTAAAAAGTCTCTTTCACCCGCTTTCCCTCTTTTCGCAGCCTAAAAGTCAGTTTTAAAATAAAATCTCAATTTTAAACTCAACTGTGTTTCTTAAACATAAATATTTTTTCCGGAAAAGTTACAAAACTCGTTGCTGGATTTTTTATTATCACCATACACTTATACACTTTCTTTCACAATAAACACAACAAGCATTAAATATTATTTTTACAAATGAAATAAAATAATACAATATAAAAATTTCATATAAAAATTTTTTACAAGAAAATTCAAAAAACAATTTTTCATCGAAGTTCATTATCAAATTTCTTATAATATTCGGCACTTTTGTATATTATACGATAGTGTCAACATCATTTTCCCTTTCATTAATAAACATATAATTTATATCTGTGAATTACAAAAAAACTAATTATAATTAATTATGTTTATATTTAACCAATGGATAGTGTTCTTAATATATAGACATCTGTAACCATCTTTTTTTGTTAGCTTCAATTGCGACTTCAATAATATTATTCCCATGAAAAAAATCAGTTGCAACAATATTGGCACAGTGCCACCATCTCTCACGAAACCATTCTGTGACTTTTAAATTGACCGTCTGTGCCATAACACGCAAACCTTTATATCTATCAAAAAAAATTCCAGCCATTTTGGGTGTCATTTGTGCCATAGAAGATTGCAAATTCTTTCTGATTCTTTTACAAACAGTTCTGTTAAAATATTCTTCGAGATCGTGAATAGTGTCTGCATCTGCCCATTGATGGCTTACTTTTCTGAAGAGATATTCACTGCTAAATCCAAATTCTGTAGAATAACTAGTATAACCTACATAAAGTCTTCGATTATTTTTCCATAACGTATTTAAAGAGACTTTATAACCATAACTGGAAGGTATCATTATAGAGCTGAGCTCATTTTCCAAATACTGAATTAATTTTAAATGTATTCTGTCCGAGTTGAGCCCATTAAAACCATTTTCAAATCGATGAAAATCTAAAATTACAATTTCTTGGGTGGAATTTAAAAAGAGTTTTATGTCTTCGATTACTTTCGCTAGAGGAATATCTGATACAAAAACACTATGGGTTATGAAGAATGTATCATTCTGATATGCAACACGAATATCTAAATATCTGTTACCATATACCAATTGATTCCATATTGTTTCGTCTTGAGTTACAANGAATATAAAAAACTGCCAATGATTATAGTATTTTATCTATCATTATCATTACTTTTAGCTCAGCTGTTGTTTCTAGTAGGAACTATTGGTCCCAGTAATTATTTTTGCATAGGAATAGCAATATTTATGCATTATTTCTACTTGGCGTCAGTCTTCTGTACCAATGCTCTTGCGTTTGATATCTGGAAAACTTTTACCAATATGAAACATTTATCTTTAAAAATTCGTAAAACACATCTTATTTACAGTATTTTATATTGCTGGGGATTACCTATGATAATTGTTATAATTTCTATCATTTGTGAATGGGCATTTCACTCAACGTTTAGTCCTCAATATGGTTCCTGTCATTGTTGGATATGCAATCGTTATGCACTCTTAATATTCTTTGCTGTGCCATTAGGATTAGTTTTGATTATAAATATAATATTCTACACAATTACTGCAAAATCAATTTATAAAACTTCGAAATCTTCAAAAATTGCAAGAAAAAATGCAAAAAATAAAAATTATGTTAGATTCTTTCTTTATATAAAAATTGCATTAATAATGGGTTTTACTTGGATTTTTGGCTTTATCTCTGCTTATTCTAACATGGTATGGTTATGGAATTTTTTTATTATACTTAATGGTCTTCAGGGAGTTTTTATATTGTTGGCATTTACTCGTATTGCTATTTTGAAGCAATTAATAAATAAAATTTCCAGTAGAAAAAATTTTGAAAATAATTCTTTAATGTTAACTTCTTCGAGTAATTAATTTTTTAATAAAGGCATCAGCTTGTTGTTCTGGATATCTAGGTTGGAATACAAATTGGTAACGTCAATAATTTTTCATGAGTGTCTGTTCTGGATATTTTCGACCTTGTCCCTTACCATCAGCCGTTTTCATTTTTATCAAATAAGATTATAATAAGCGGAGTCTTCTGTATTATCAGTTTGGAGCTCACCTAAACTAATAACAATTACAGACTATTAATATTAAGTAAAATAAATAAGATTAGTCAATAGGAGTCTTATACTTAATAACCAATTTCATTAAATTACGTAACAAACTTGTATTTACTTAATTCATTTGAATAAAAATAATAGTTAGTATTACATATAGGCCTACATACATACATACTAACTATTATTAGTATATATATATATTATATATAGGCTATATATATATATATGAAGGCATACATTCACTAAAGTAATCAATGAATCTGTACTACAATGCTCATAAGTTCTCGATTTTCGGCTTGCCTCCAAAAATTGATCGCTGAATGTGAAATTCCTCGGACAAAACTGTTACTTTAACGATGATTGCAACTGCCTAATCTTGCGGCATAGAACAAAGCTTTTTCAAATGTTCTTTCATTTTGAAATGCAGACTATGAAGTGTAAATGCAAGAAGAACGACGCTTTATGCACTTCTAAATGTCATAACTCTTCGAATTGCTGCAATAAATAAAAAAGTTAATTAAAAAGTTTTTTTCGTTTTATTTTAAATTTGCTTTTCACAACTTTAGCCCGTAAAAGTTAACAAACAAACAAACACATTCGAGAGAGTATACAATCACTAGTGAATGTGGATTTCTTATTTGAAAATGAACGATTTGAACGATTACATTTACTAGTAATAAATCATATTCACTGTATAATCCACTTTCAGTGTAACATATATAACCACTACGGTTGCAATCGTTTTCCATTGAAGTGTATTGTCTTCCCGTCTTCCTTGTGAATAGGGAAAGCGTAACAGTGAGATATAGGCCTATATCTCACTATATCCTCCTATATAGGGGAGATCGGGGCAACTTCGGCATGCGGGGCAAGTTTGTCAAGCGCTTTTTTTTTTAAAACAAATTAAAAAATATCTTTGATTATAGGTTAGGCAGTTGAGTTTTATTGGTGGCTTGTTGAGTGTAGTGTTTTTATTGTTCTCCAACAAGCGTAGTTGAATTATCAAGCAAATTTTCATTTTNTATATATATATTTTTTAATTATATTTTATTTCTATACTGAAAAATGCTGACATGACGGATAGAAGACGACTTGATTTCTTCAAATTTTTAATTAAAAAAAAATACTGCCAGACATTAATTAATTAATTTAAAATATACTTATTCAATCTAATATTGTGCATTTCATTGGCATCAACACGACCGAATAAGAAACAATTCGAATAATTTTTGCGAGAGCAACATATTAATCAGTGCATAATAATTAATTAATCATTCCGTTACATTGGGATTCATCCCCTCTTTTCTGCTTAAGAATTGTATTTTTTGCCACGCAATACGTTGAAGGTTAAATCCATCCGATCATTCGTGCAATTTGTTCATTATTTTTCTATCTCGAATACTTCTGTGAAAATTCGCAAATAGTTTTCCACAAAGTGTTTTTGTATTCGTGATACACATATGTTCATTTGGGAAATCTCTCCCAACATTCTGTCACGTAGTTTAGCGGAGAGATACATAATATAATTTAAATTTTTCCTGTCTTTTGTAAGCTAAAGAAATTTCTATTAGAATTAATATCAAAGTAATGTAACTATAGTATTTTAATAAATCATTAGTTTAAATTTTGCATTTTTATAATATTTTGATCTAAACATGAACTTCTATAGAATATATTAAGTGGATCTTAAATAGAGACGTGACAAATAAAGCAAAAAGCTTGTAATATTTATTATTAAAATTTACAGGGCTATAGTAAAGAATAGTATAGCGTCTTTTCTCATTTAATATGTTGCTTTGCTAATCAATATGATAAAAAAGAAAGGTCGCTGTGAACTTTCCTAATATTATAAAAACTAGAAAATGTATCAACAAAAAGTTTAATAATATACTACAGAGTGATTCAAAAGTCTCCATACGTGGACATTCCTTTTTTATGCATTTATCAATAAGTCATAGAATATGATAGGTTATATTTGAGCACCATTTACCTAAATGCACGTATAGATGCTTTCCACCAATATTATGGCGAACACATATTACTACAACTGATGTTATGCATACACATAAATGTTTGCTTGGTCTGTATATGTAGTCCATATTTAATATCTTTCAGGTGTTTTGTATGAATAACTATGAAATTTTAATATTATAATGTAAAAAGTAATTTTTTTTTATCATTAGCGCATAGTGTTAAAACATGCACAGTCATAGGCCCTGTCTATAGAATGTAACTTGTAAAACCAAAAATAAAATAGAATTAAGATATAATTTAGTCCACACAGTGAAAGAGTAGACAAGAGTGAGTCTGAGCTGGAAGGATCTACGTCAGATAAAAGGGATGGAAAGAGACGTGGGAGTTGACACACGGATCACAGTAATAAAATTTGTAAAAAAAAAAAAAAACAGTAAAATTATCTAAAATACAAATAAAAGCGTTTTAAAAATGTAAAAATAAACCAGCTGAAAGAGATCTGATTCATATATCAATTTTCACATCTCCTTCCACCCCTTTCATCTGACATAAATCCTTTCAGCTCAAACTGACTCTTGACCTTCGCTGCGCGGACTATAATTGTTTATTATATACAAAATACAATATATTTCTAGTGAAATATATACATATTCTACAGTTATATACAAGTGTAATAATAATGTAATTAAAAAATAAAACAGTTATTCATTGAATATAAGCATGCATGTAATCTTACTTCTATTTATAAGACCAAATATAAACATAGTTTATTGTAGATCTAGTTTTTCTGTAATATTTACAAATTTTACGAATTGTGCTTTATGCAGAATCGTCTTCATATTTTGTTGGTTCCTGTGTAAAATGTGAATGTAGGGCTTTTTCAACACCGAGGGCTGAAGACCGAGCATTAATCAAGCACGAGTTGACCTATCCTGGAAGTCCTACTAAGCGCGATGGGGTTCTTAGTAGGACGAATGCAAAAGTCGTACACCCATGAAGTCGGTTCTGGTTTTGATAAATATCTGGCATGAAGCTATATATCTATTTATATTTTATGTAATTTCATTATAATTTTTGGTTTATTATTTTAAGCTAGAATTTAAAAATTGCCATGTATTATCTCTATACTTTATTACATTAATCAGTTTTTTTAAATAAATTAATTCTCAATAATTTAAATAAACAAGATAACGTAAATTTTAAACAGTTATTAATAAATGTAATCTTAAAAGTTTTTATTAAATGTATAAAATGATTGGACATAAATGTAGAAGGATATTGTATTCAAATAAATTTTACATTTTTAAATTAAAATATTTCATGAATAATTGTGAGAAATATTAACTATTGTAATAAAAGAAAACTAAGGTCAGGTGTGGAATTAAATTCTTCCTTCAAACTTTCCCACTCCTTTTTTTCACTGTTTGCAATCGAATTGGTCTTTTTATTTTCTCCTTATATCATTTTTATATTTATGTAATAATTATAAAACATTCCGATTTTTGAGACATAAAATTTGGCAATCTTAACGTTTGTATGAAAAAGTTATTTCCATTAGATTTTACACGTGAAATGACGATGGCATTATTTATGAGAAATAGCCAATATGTTTCGATACAAAAACGCAAATGAATCGGAGTTTCGAGATTATATACAGTTCTAGTAATTTGACTCTCTTTGTTAAAACAATAATAGAACAATAATAGTTTTTCGTTAATTTACAGGTTAAACTTTTTTCGAAGTTTTTATCCGTGCAAATGACCTTACAAAGAAAATATGTAGATTTCTTTATTAACAATAAAGTAGAATTCGAAAATACAAACAATTAACCAAATAAGGACATGAAGTGATGCAAAACTTTCAAAATTTGTATAAAAAAGAAAAAAAAAAAGCTGTGGATTACAATAATCCTATCTGTATTAAGAATAATCTTTTATAAACTTACGTATAATTTTTTCTTTGAACTTTTGTACAAAATAAGAATCTATTTATTGATATTAAGCGTTTTAAAGAAAGATTTACATTTTTATATATTAAGAATCCGTTGCGCAATTTTTAATCTCGAGGTTAAACGTAATTTTATCTAGAACAGTTACGAGCAACTCGTGGTCTGCGGGGTCCTAATATGCTGCCCTAGTGGCTTTGGAAACGTAATTTTATTTTCCTGTTTTTAAGCTCCAGTCATTTGCATCCCTAATTAAGATGATATTCTTGACAAACTAAACTTGACAGTGAAGAGATGAGAATAAATGAACAATTATTTGTTGTGGCATCACAATGCCGGGTTGCAACTTTTTAGATCTCGATGCACAATGCTCTTGATTTTAGTTGTTTTGTTCCTATACATCATACTTTTCCTGTTAACACGAGAGTCATGCCTGTCATCTAACTCTGTTCTGGAGAAAATTTTTGAATTGCAATAACGTATATAGCAGGGGTGGGCAAGCAAGAGTTCAGTGGGAGCCGAAATGTAGGTTTTGCAAAGTGCATGGGAGCCGCAGTTCTGTACTTTTTTATTCTGTACTGCAGTTCTGTACCGCGATTTTATTGTATAATATAAATATTATATAAAACAAATATTGAATTTTTTAATAAACATATTTCCACAAAATTGTGGAAATAAAATTGTAAAACTAATAATAAAAAGCAGAAATTAACACTTTCAGCAAGAGCCGCATTTGCCCATGGTGGATATATAGTTAATCGAGGCCTCCGGCTTCTAAGATTTCTATTTCTAATGTCGACTTTCATCAGTCTATCTCCATTCTGGAGGTTAAAGAAGGATAGACAAATAAACAGACAGACTGATGGACACCAGTGGACATTTATAGTTCTATAATTTTAAAATTGCAGCCCAATTATACATTATTTGTTTACATATTATTAGCACATATTATTTTACATTTTACCAAATACCTTAGGCACATATTGTACTTAATTCGCTGGAGGTACAATACTTGGCAAGTTTAAAGTCTGAAACTCCGTAAGAAAAAAAAACATATTCGGCCCGCCGGAAGTCTACGAAGTTCCTTTGTAGCCCGTACCCAGAACTATTGCTTATCATTACTGTAAAGTATGCAGAAAACCGACAAAAACGCGTTTCGCTTCGTTTTTACGAAGCAGAATGAAGCGTTTTAGTCGTGAGCAGTAGCGGAACTACTGTTAAGGCCTATGACATGTAGGTCCAGACCAGGCCCTGGGCACTGTTTCTGAGAAACAGTATATGAGAACTTTTAAATTATATAAGAAAAATATTAATATTTTTTGTGTCTGTTCTAACTAGGAATGATTAATTTTAATTAAACGTATGCTACTTATTTTAGATAGCTTTTACACTATCTTTTTCGATTACACTTATCAACTATTCAAAATAGTAAATGTAACTTTTCTGTTTTGAAAAACAACTTGATCTGATTGTAGTTAGCCAATAATATGACGAGAAGGAATATATTGGCTAATGGCGTCACTTATACGAAGTATATTTAACAAAAATAATAATAATAATAATAATAATAAGTTTGAAATTTTAATTTGATGGATGTAGGACCTACAATTTCTTGGGTGGAATTTAAAAAGAGTTTTACATCTTCGATTACTTTCGCTAGAGGAATATCTGATACAAAAACACTATGGGTTATGAAGAATGTATCATTCTGATATGCAACACGAATATCTAAATATCTGTTACCATATACCAATTGATTCCATATTGTTTCGTCTTGAGTCACAATGTATCTGTTCATTAAGTTATCTTTTCTAGGATAATTTTGATAACTTCCAGAATTATGAGTTCTTGGAAGCATCAATTCATCTAAACTATAGTTTCTTATCTAATCACGTAGATTAATCATTCAGTGAAGATGTGCCCTGTAACAAGATGACACAATGATATCCCCTGAGGAAATGAGAGCTATCCAATAGGGAAGACATACATCAAAGTGTCTCACTTACATTATTTATCCATTAATCCAATTATGTAACCAAAATACTGGCTGAACCTTATGCGATTGCTATGATTATTTTTGTAATTCCTTTGTGATTTTCCTTTCATATTATTGCAGTTTTTTATATTTTTGTTACTTTTTTGTTATAATTAATAATTTTTCTTTCGTTCATAAATCTTTTTGCAGATTTCTTTGAAAATGTTTTCCTCTTTTTTGTTCGGTTTGCTTACAACAAAACAATTTTTAATACAATATTTTGTAATATATTTATTTAATGTTATTAATATATTATTTCTCTCTTTACTATAATGTTTCCCTCTTCTGCATAAATTGCATCGCGAGTGAGAATTCTAATCTTAAAAAGTCTCTTTCACCCGCTTTCCCTCTTTTCGCAGCCTAAAAGTCAGTTTTAAAATAAAATCTCAATTTTAAACTCAACTGTGTTTCTTAAACATAAATATTTTTTCCGGAAAAGTTACAAAACTCGTTGCTGGATTTTTTATTATCACCATACACTTATACACTTTCTTTCACAATAAACACAACAAGCATTAAATATTATTTTTACAAATGAAATAAAATAATACAATATAAAAATTTCATATAAAAATTTTTTACAAGAAAATTCAAAAAACAATTTTTCATCGAAGTTCATTATCAAATTTCTTATAATATTCGGCACTTTTGTATATTATACGATAGTGTCAACATCATTTTCCCTTTCATTAATAAACATATAATTTATATCTGTGAATTACAAAAAAACTAATTATAATTAATTATGTTTATATTTAACCAATGGATAGTGTTCTTAATATATAGACATCTGTAACCATCTTTTTTTGTTAGCTTCAATTGCGACTTCAATAATATTATTCCCATGAAAAAAATCAGTTGCAATAATATTGGCACAGTGCCACCATCTCTCACGAAACCATTCTGTGACTTTTAAATTGACCGTCTGTGCCATAACACGCAAACCTTTATATCTATCAAAAAAAATTCCAGCCATTTTGGGTGTCATTTGTGCCATAGAAGATTGCAAATTCTTTCTGATTCTTTTACAAACAGTTCTGTTAAAATATTCTTCGAGATCGTGAATAGTGTCTGCATCTGCCCATTGATGGCTTACTTTTCTGAAGAGATATTCACTGCTAAATCCAAATTCTGTAGAATAACTAGTATAACCTACATAAAGTCTTCGATTATTTTTCCATAACGTATTTAAAGAGACTTTATAACCATAACTGGAAGGTATCATTATAGAGCTGAGCTCATTTTCCAAATACTGAATTAATTTTAAATGTATTCTGTCCGAGTTGAGCCCATTAAAACCATTTTCAAATCGATGAAAATCTAAAATTACAATTTCTTGGGTGGAATTTAAAAAGAGTTTTATGTCTTCGATTACTTTCGCTAGAGGAATATCTGATACAAAAACACTATGGGTTATGAAGAATGTATCATTCTGATATGCAACACGAATATCTAAATATCTGTTACCATATACCAATTGATTCCATATTGTTTCGTCTTGAGTTACAATGTATCTGTTCATTAAGTTATCTTTTCTAGGATCATAATTTTGATAACTTCCAGAATTATGAGTTCCTGGAAGCATCAATTCATCTAAACTATAGTTGCCTATCTGATCACGTAGATTAATCATCCAGTGAGGATGTGCCCTATAACAAGATGACACAATGATATCCCCTGAGGAAATGAGAGCTATCCAGTAATGAAGACATTCATCAGTTAAATTATCGGGTTTAAAATTTATTTTTGGGAAACCGAATTCCGTTTTGTGATAACCTGTAGGATCGTTCGTTACATTAATTTTTACTAGACAATCTTCTTTAGAATCAAAAGGATCGTGATTATAAAGACAAACCCATGCTTCTTCGTATGTATTATTATGAATCCAATTCATTTCAACTTGTCTTTGTATTACTTTTCCATTTTCTTCTTTCCATGCGAGTGAAGATAGAGTGAGAAAAACACTGGTATCACCATTTCCTTCGAAAAAATAAAATTGTTAGTTAAATTATTAAATTAAACTGAATTCAATTTAAAACTGTTATGTATAACGCATAGAATTTTATAAAAATTTGTCATAAATTAATGAAATATAGAAATTTGAATTTAAAAAATGTCAGAAAAAAATGGTTAAAAATATCATGTTGTAACGTTTGTTTCAGAAAGAAAAGATAAATGTGAAAACCCTTAAACTGAATTATTATTATCCATTGAGATAGCATAGCCATTGAGATAACAAATAGCTTCAAGGCAATAAATTTTAAAACAAAAGTGTGAAAAAAATTAATGAAACTTGGAAAAAGCTTTATAAATTATATATGCTACGTATTTGAAAATTTGTTATAGCATTAATAAGAATATATAATAATAATAATACATATTTAATAATTTCAAACTAAATACATACGAGGTCTGTTCAAAAAATACGCGGACTGACGTCATAAAACAAAATGTACTTTATGTAGAAGTTACATGTCTTGGTCCTCTTTAAAGTCTCTCCTTCCCAACGCACATACTTATCCCAATGGTGTTTCCACTTGTTGAAACACTCCTGGTACGCTTCTTTTGTAATGTCTTTTAGCGCCTTCGTCGCATTTGCCTTAATCTCGGGAATCGTCTCAAACCTTCCTTTCAAGGGTCTTTTGAGTTTGGGGAACAAGAAAAAGTCACAAGAAGCAAGGTCAGGTGAGTAGGGGGAGTGGAGAAAAACAGTGATCGAGTGTTTGGCTAAAAACTAACGAGTTCTGAGGGCTGAATGGAATGGAGCATTGTCGTGAAGGAGAAACCAATCGCCACTCCTACGCATTTCTGGCCTTTTGAAACGGATGGCGTCCCTCAGACGTTTCAGAACTTCAACGTAGTAAGTCTGTTTCACTGTGGAGCCTTGGGGAGGTACTCGTGGTGAACAACACCCTTAGCATCAAAGTAAACTGTCAGAATCACCTTGATATTGGATCGAACTTGCGAGCTTTTTTGGGTCCGGGGCAAGTTTCACCAACCCACTGGTTGATCATAGCAAATGTTTCAGTCACAGATTTTCTAAGTTTAACACAAAATTTCACAGCGAGTCGTTGTTCCTTCAGGTCATTCATTCTGAAATCCGACAAACGAAAAAGTGGCACTTCACTAAAAACCGCGTAGCTAATCAACAAATAAAGATATCTGTAATCGGGAAACGGTGTTATTACCAGACGATCTGTACAAACCTAGTGACACCAAGCTGATTTCCCTGGGACCAACTGAAGCCGCGCAATTCAAACAGTCCGCGTAGTTTTTGAACAGACCTCGTATCAAATAGATTATAAAATATTTTTAAAAATCAATTAATTAATTTGTAATTATTATAACGAAAAGGTACAATTCTTAATAAAAACAATCAAAGAAGCTTTGAGTGATAAATTTTCATCTAGATTAAGTAAAAATTAAGGAATATAATATATTCTATATAATGGATTATTTGTAAGTTTTATTTGAAAGTAGATTAATTTCATTTGAAAATAATTATAAAGTAATTGGTATAACTTGTATTTCACGTCTTTTGTTAACTAAAAACCCAAGTCGCTGTACCAAGTCGCTGTATTTTCCTATTCAATTAATGAATGCTCAAAAATCTTTGGCGCTATGATGTTAAACAACACAAACAAATTTTTTCGATTTATTGTACAAAACTCTTCAACATTAAGAGATTTCATTAATACAAATATCTGCCTTTATTTAAAAAATGGGAATTGACGTATAATTGTTAGCAATTAACCATGAATTAAAAGTTAAAATTCAAACACATTTTCTGAGAATTAAAATGAAAAAACGCTCTTAATTATTTGATTTCAATTTCAATGTAGTTTCAATATTAGTTCAATTTTCTGATAAAATAATAAACTAAATTTTTAAAAGTATTTTTAATGATGTTAGCAATTGGTTACTATTTATGAAATTTATTATTTAAAACGATCCTTACATGACTTCATACAGACTACATTCTAAATGATCGAATTTAAAAATTTTTATAATCCAAGGTTGAAGATATACATATATATTCAATCTAGATTAAGATACTTAGGAATACTACGAAAGTTATTTAGTTAATATTATCTAATTACACATTTTCAATTTGTTCACCTTAGCAAATTATACACTGGTGTGCAAAACTTAAGCAACAATGTAATTTTTAAGCAGACAGCCATGAAATTGTAGAAAAGAGCTTTTTGTGATCAGTACCATAAACACCCAGTTCAGTAAAAAGGTAATATGTATGCAAATATCAGGAAAAAGACATCACAGGTGACGTGAGGGCAGGAAAAACGCGTGCAGTGCAAGATTACAATAAAAAGATCAAAAGGCGTTATTAAAGACATTTTCTGCAAGTTTAAGTGAGTTTGTACGTGCAATATGACTAGAAGAAACCATCTGGATGGATTTACACATGGTAGAATTATCGGCAAGCTTGAGGAGGGGCGTAGTGTGACGAGTGTAGCCCAAAAGTTTGGAATCAACAAAAGTGTCGTTTCACAAGCTTGGAAAGCCTTCCAAACCACAAGTACAGCTGTAAGAAAGGTTGGTGGTGGTCTTCAAGAAAAACATTGCCAATGGATGACTGATATATCGTCCTTCAGGCGAAAAGAGATCGATACCAGTCAGCAGGCAACATTCATTGCTCAGCAGCTTCGTACGGCAATGGAACAAAAAGTATTGCGGTTTAATGTGGCCAGACGCCTTCATAAAGGTGGCCTATTCGTCTGCCGTCCTGAACGATGCATCTTATTGACAGTTGTTCATCGACAGCACATTTAGACTGGTGTAAGGAACACAAAGACTGGACATCTCATTAATGGAGTCACGTCTTCTTTACAGATGAGAGTCGTTTCAACATCACAAGTGATTCTCAATGCCAGTTGATATGGAGAGAGATAGGGACAAGGTTTTATTCCGCTAACATCATGGAAAAAGACCGTTATGTTGGTCCTGGTGTGCTCATTTGGGGAGGGATTACGATAAACGGGTGGACTGACCTCCAAATTTTCGACAGAAGTACTGTTATTGGAGATCGCTGTTATCAGCAAGTGATCCTTCCTCACATGCATCTGTTCCAAAGTGCCATTGGTGCAGACTTCATTTTTATGGATGATAACTCCAGAGCATATCAGCCCCGTGCTGTTCAGGAGCTTCTAGAAAGTGAAGATATCACTAGAATGGATTGGCTGACCCCTGATTTAAATCCCATAGAACATGTGTGGGATGCTTTGGTGAGATACCTATCGGCATGATTATATCTGCTGGATAACACCCAACAACTGGAACAGATGCTCATTGAAGAATCGGCACTCTTACCTCAACAACTATTTGATAATCTGATGTTTAGTATGGAGAGACGGTGCCAAGCAACCATTGCAGTTAAGGGAGATCATATCCCACCTAAGGAACATCTGTTTCTTGTTCTCCCTCTTGGGCAGACAATCATTTGTACCAAAGCTACTCTTCAATAAAGCCTGTTTTTGTTTGATTCCATACTGTATGCGTTCTATTCATTTTTGCGCTAGTATGCTTTCTTCATCCTTTAAGTACAAAATACTGTCTCTGTATCCTGAATTTCATGACTCCCAGGTGATTTTTTGCAGAGTTATGGCAAAGAATGCAATCATTGCTTAAATTTTGTACACCAGTGTATTTTGAGAGTTTCCAGAACAAATTATGGATATATATATATATAGTTATATATATAATCACAAGTAACTATATATACTGTATATAGTTACTTGTGATTATTTATTTCTATGAAACTTATTCCAGTCTCTTAATTGTGACGTCCGCACATGTATTTTTAAATGTAAATGTTTATAAGTTGATTTTTCTTACAGATATAAATTTTATCCAAGAGGTTCATCTTAATTATTATTTTCTTCTGCAATTATTAATCTAATTCAGTAAGAAATTTGTAATTCATTGTTTGCAAATATAAATTTTATGCTACTTTTATTTTTATTTATTGGAGCAATATTAAAGAAATATCCAAAAAAATAAGTCAGATACTGTTAAACACAAGATTTTATTTTCAAATAGTATCAATAACTTCTTGCAACGAATACGACAAAAGTTTAATTATTCATGAAACTTGCAAAAGTATGCCTCATTCATTTCGAATTTAAAATGACCACGGTCATACATGCCAATAGGAGGAAAAACGAACAGTTCTAAATTGATCGCTAGATGTTGTTTCAAGTATGCTTCATTTCCTGTTTAGTATCTTCTGTAATTGATGTTTTGTCACGTTCTGCCTTTAGTGAGTCACGCACTTGCAGGATGTGGAAAGTCATTATTGTAACTTTCAAGTATTTATTTACTTTTAACCTACTTTATAGTTCTATGTACTGTTAAATTAATTTAAAGAATCTCTAGAAGTTACTGTTAATCAAGTATAATAAACACACCAGTTATAACACGCAGCTTGATATAAAGTTTACTTACTGGGATATTGCATGGCTAGTGAGGCGAAGCTGGAAAGAAAGAGGCGATTCTTGTACTTGCCAGCCATAGGAGAGGCAATCTTTGCACTATCCAGGCACGAGAAAGACGATCCTTGCATTTGCAGCCATGCAGAGGCCATCCAACAACAAAGCAATCCGCGTTGCTTTCTTCAAAGCAACTTCTATTGCTTTGTTCTTGTGTTCGCTTTTCGCGTCCATTTTCCTTTAGGCGCGCGCAATGTGCTATTTTTTCAAAGTTTAGTTTCCTAAATTTCGTTATATGCCCACAATAACATCAGGGAGAATAGACATTGTATTTCGTCGCCATTGTACCTCGAAAACGAAGTCATGGACCCTCATTTATATTACATTTTTGGATTCTTCATAGCAATTAGTAGAAAATGACAATGTTTAATTAAAATCGATCGATCAAATTTTGAGAACGAACGCAATTATGTAAGTTTTTTAAAATTCTTTCTGCCCTGTAGGTACTAAAAGGGCCTCTTTTAGCAAGTCCGTTATGGGTTCAGCCAGGCACACAATGAGGCGACCGACATATCCGGTCGGATCACCCCCGAAAATTTCCTGGGGATTTTTCGACCCAGTCCGAATTTGATCCCGGGTCCTCAGAACGGTGGGCTGCCACGTTAACCGCTTGACCATCCGGCCAGCAATTTCGTAAGTAGTAGAACATAGAAGAGGCTTCGCGCCTCTTCAAATATTCGATTTAAATTAATCGCTGAAATTAATAATGTAAGTACACGCATTACCTTATAATTTTATTAGTAAATTAAAATAGTGTTAAAATACTTGGTAAGGCAAAAATAGCTTAAATTTAGACGTGTTGATCTACGGATCTCTAATGTACTTTCTGATAACGGTGCCTACTCTAGAAAAACGATCATACATCAAATGCAAAAAAGAATTAATTTTCCAGGAGATACAAAAAATATTAATTATTCATAATATAATTAAAAATTCCAACAACGAATTGCATAATATTACCAATCAAATTTTAAATTTGTGTGTGGCGCTATCTGTCATGAGATTGTTTTAAAAAGTTTTTTACACTTCTCAAAAGTGAAATTGCAACACCATAAAGGAATGCATATGCAAATCTCAAGACCACAGAGGTGACAGAGATATGCAAATCACTAAAAGAACTAACGAAGATATGCAACTGACACCTGTTTATTCAGTAATGAATATGGCCCCATGGACAGCTATACAGGTTGCTATAAGGCAAAGCATACTATCAATGAAGCAATTAATGGTTGTCTGAGGTATCCCTTTCCAAGCTGTGTCCAATGTGATGCACATGTTGTTTACAGTATGTGGCAATGATCCCTGGTGCACCTCACATCAGACAAGGTCCCACAGGTGTTCGATGGAGAGAGATCCGGCAAAACTGCCAGCCAGGAAAGGATGTGAATTCCATTCAGGCTTGTGAGAGTTGTTCATGCAACGCGTGCCCGGACGTTGTCGTATGGAACACTGTGTCGAGTGCATGTTGCACCAGTGACCGAACCACAGGCCCCACAATTTGTGTGACGTACTGATTCACTGTCAGAGTACAAGAAATGTGCACCAGGGCTGTCTGTCAATAGAACATGATGCCACCCCGAACCGTGGTGTCCAGTGTGAGGCTGGTGTGATGCTTGGCGAAAAGGCTGGCACATAGTGTTCCCCAGGATACTGCCACACCCATCGATGATTGTCATTCCTTCACAGATAGAAGCAGGATTCATCCGTAAACAATACCCGATGCCATTCAGTGGTCCAGTTGTGATGACGACAACACCACGCCAGGCGTACAGCCCTCTGTGGTGCGATTAATGGCACTCCTCCTTGCTGGTTGTCATGCATGTAGCCCGACTTCATGCAACCTATTGTGAATGGTTTGGATGGACACAAATGCACTCGTTGACGGCAACGAGCAGTTTCAGATGTCACGTGCCGTGGCGAACAGGTCCCGAATCTGCTGGTCTGTGCGCTCTGTCGTTCGCCTGTGCGATCTGTTCCCTCTTCAGCATATTCTCAGACGTTCCTGAATCCATCGGGTCACACATTGCTGGATAGTACTCAAGCTGTGCCAATACGCGTGGAAACTGCCCGCATCTACAAACCGAAATTGCGCAGCTCCAGGATACTGTCTCGTTCCCCAGCCATTAACTGGTGGTATTCAGCTCGCTGTCATCTAAGTTCGGCTGCGACAAACCGTCACTGATAGCATTTACGACCCGGTCCGGGCTGCTAATTTTTATAGCCCGAAACTGAGTACCACATGACTCGGTGTACGCAAACTTAATCATTTGCACACCTTTCTCACCTCTACCGGTCCTGGAATTTTCAGGTGGCTACGTGCATTACTTTGTGGTCTTGCAGTTTCGCTTTTGAGGAGCGTAGGCCTATATTGTTAATCATTAAAAAATGTAAAAGCTTAATTTTGAGGGTAGAGATGAGTTTTATTTTTTAAAAAATTGTTAATGCTAATAACGAGTAAAATCTTTATTAAGTCCAATCCCACTCGAGATACGACACATGTGTCCGCTCTATCTGCCTATCCTCTTGACCTTTAAACTTCATAATTTAATAATATTAACCTTCTAATACACAAACCTCACTGCAAAATTTTAGAAGTTTTCGACAAAAGGCACAGGAGTTAGTTTTAAAATGTGTAAGCAAAATCGTGGTAACCAAACACACTAACATATATACATACAGCAAAAAGTCTCGACTATTTTTTTTTTTGCATATCTTGAGGTTTCGAAGTTCTCAAAGAGTCAAAGAATCAAAAAATGCAAAATTCTTGGGGAGTCATTTTTTTGCCATACTTTTACACTGTTATATACTGTATAACAGCCGGGAAAGTAAAAATTAATTAAAACGCTTGAGACATTGAATAAAGCAATTGTTAGCATATTTTGGTTATTTATAAGTAATATTTGCTTTGTATCTCATGGTATTTTTTTGTTTTGCATTTGTGACGTTGTTTTCTCGTAACAACGATATAGCATGCCATCTAATTCTTGTGTATCTATTATGGTTTCCTTCAACAAAAATCTAGACTTACCTTTTCATGATGTGCCAAATAATCCTGCGTTGCTGCACGAACTTAAGCAAAAAATTAATTTTCCAAAAAATTAAGCAAATACTCGAAAGTATGAAGTCAATACTGAAGGTAATAACAATGTAATAAGTATGTAGGTTCCCTTTGCTTCCTTAAGAAGTAATGACTGCAAATAAATGGCGGTTCATGTTTGAATTCAAGCAACACAACCTGCAAATGTTTCAAAATAAGTTATCCTTAATCAGCTTTGAGTAACTCCTATCACTATTGCTATTGAAATAAGCAGGTGATCATGCGACACGCTTCACATGATTGCAGCTTAATGTAACTGGTGTGTTTATTAAACGTGGTTACAGTAACTTCTACAGGTTCATTAACGGTACTCTGTAGAGTAAATTGAAGATTAAAGAAGTACTTATAAATTAAAATAACAACTTTCTAACGTGTTGTAGGTACATTACTTGTCCAGGGATCATACACTACAATATGTAGAAAAATAGCAATGATAGAAGACACTTACCAGAAGTGAAGCTTACTTGGAACACCTAGCAACCAAATCTAGAACTGTTAGTTTTTTTCCTCCTATTGATCAAAGATAACAATATCTTTTCATTTTATTAAATCAATGATAACTACATATAATTCGGAAAAAACAACTTGAAATTTGATTTATTGATAACTTATAGGCCTATATATATAGCGTAAAAAGTAAAAAGCTACTACAAATATATATATATTTGGAAAAAGGTAAAAGCTATTTCAGATGTGTATATATATATATCTGAAATAGCTACAAAATTTGGTGCCTATGGCATAAAAAGGAAAAAGCTATTTCAGATATATATATATCTGAAATAGCNGCAAATTGTTACACTAAAAGAGCATCAAATAGTAATTCTGTTTAGTTTCAAGATGAATTGAAAATTACAACAGAAATGACAAACAATTTCACGTCATTTCTGCTGTAATTCTTGATTAACCGTACAAGCAAATAATAATATATTAAATATTAATATAATAATATGGCCAATTAAGAGGATTGGACAACACATACTGTACTTTTGTTTAACTGTCTATTGATAGTTATATTATCTACAATGCCTTAAAGAGTCTGTACAAAAGAATCACTTTTTGAATTTCCAAATTAATGTTAGGACCTTTTTATATAAAGATTCTAACATTAATAGGTTTTTATATAAAACTTAGAAACTGTTTTAATAATAAAATTAAATTAAATTAAATTTAAAAAATGAAATATCGAATCACATAACAAAAGTCTGGCACATTTTCTATTACGTGTTTTTTAAATAAACAAAAACAATTACACGTAAAAGAATATGTAGAATTATAGAAAAATTAAATATCATACTGCTTAAATTTCTAAAATTTTTATAAAAACTAAATTTCTGTTTCGAATGTCTTTTAGACTTTATATTTAAGATGAAAATTAATATTATTGTTTAGTTTTTGCTTCAATAAGCAATAACATACCGTATATGTACTGTACTGTACAGTACTGTACATGTATGTGTATTTTTCTAAAATAAAATTTCAATTTATAAATTCAGCCGTTCTAATTTCATATATTACAATAGTTTAATTTATATTTTCTATTTTAACTGAATATTTATAAAAGTGATCTAAGATGAAATCTAAACTTCCAATTGACATTGGAAGTTTAGATTTCATCTGTATGTATAATATAACAATGGATATTATATGTGAAATTTCATCTGTATGTATAATATAACAATGGATATTATATGTGAAATTTGGCGTCTAATTTTAGTCTATTCTCGATGTAAATTGTCTTGAAAATTAAAAAAACTTCTTTGATGTAATTACAATACTTGTATTTTCGGGATCTTTCAATTATCCAAAAGAATAACCCAATAAATATTGCACTCAGATATACGTCTCAATTTAATCTTTTAAAACTTAATTCCTTTTTTTCATGTAAAAGCCAAATTATACTAAAGACTGTTCAACATTCTTAATGTACAAAATTAAGAGTTTATCTTTTAATGCTCTGATTCTAATGTCTTCAAGTCAAAATCCCTCTTTAACGTTATAATATAGAACCGATCTAACTAAACTAAATAATTATTTATAATATAGTATGTATTTTAGATAATTTAATAAATTGAAGTACACCCATAATGGAACTCAATTGAATAATATTGAATCAATCAAAATACTACATATTTTATGAAGAAAAATACTGAAAAGTTTTAATAAACATCTTAATTATATTATTTCTTTTATGTTTAATCATAATTTCTTTCTCATTTTTATCATATGATTTTCAAAAGTCAAGGAATTGTTATACTGATTTCGAGATATACAATCTCTTTAAATATCTCCATTCGAGAGTTACCCACAAAAATTTGTCTCCTTTAAGTTGCCTTTTGCCTTTACAAAATATAATTTATTTATTTTTATTTTCGTTAATTGTTAGATCATTCTTGTAGTGCATTTCATTAACATGTTTATTTTGCTTTGCATATCAATCGTATTTGTGGCCAACAAAACGATATCATCCGTATGTAGTAAAACGTGAATATCTTTATGTACTAACCTCAATTTATCTTCTATCACTTCATCATAGTCATTTGCTAAATCGTTCAAGTATAAAATAAACAGTATAGGACTTAGTGGGTCATCCTGCTGTAGACCTTTTTCAAAAGTAAAACAGTTCGTACTTTTTTTCGACGTATGAAAAAGTTTGTAAACTATGCGTTTATTATAATAAGCGAAATTTCGAAGCCTATCATTTAACAAACAATATCTCTAAATTCACAAAAATAAATGCTTTACGAATGTCTAAGAAACAAATAATTAATCTAAATCGTTTTTTACTTTATTGACTTTATACTGTACTAAGGAGTATATCAAAATCTTCCGATACTGTACTTTTCCCTTTTGAACTCCAAATTGTTATGTTTATTTTCTTTTTTATATATCATTTTTATTTTTATTTTTCAGTCATTTTTATTAATAATTTCATTATGCTTTCCCTCACATGAAAACCTGGCTATGCCACTGATCGAATGAAAGACCATACACTAGAGTTACCGAACGTCTTCCATTTGGGATGACAGTCCTCTATTAAATTATATTGTCCTCCCATCCTCCTTTCAGTATGGCAACTCACGTTTGTATGGTAAAGTTGGGATCGCTACTATACAAACGTAACTGAATTTTATGATATTATCGAACCTTTCACAAAGTTTACTCTTAAAGAATATTTGAAAAATTTTGGTTGCTATATATTTTTATAAAATTGTTGATAATCGTTGATGTGGTAATTATATAATTTGTAGAACACCATACTTTTATATAATATACGACAGTTTCTAATATGTTTAAGTAAAAATACTACATAATTTTTCTGAAGAAAATAGCAATAATTTATTTATCTCATGTAAAAAATAGTAAAAAGTGCTGAACAAGTATTAATTGGATGATTGATCAATTAATGTGAACCCTGGCACATTGCAGTTAATGTAGCTAACATTTATTATGCGACCACATCCCTGAAATAATTTCGCTCACAAATAATATTCTTCAAACAGAAACTTTGCTATTTCACTTAGAACAATCATTTCGTAATTATTCCATCGACTACTGATATATTTGACGTGCAGAAGTCGAATTTCATAAGATGCTCTCTGAATGCCATAAATCTTTGCAACACTTTCCAGAAAATAGCATTCTCTCCTGTGTTGTTCAATAACAGATTGAAGATACTGTAAATGTTTCATCAGCTCATAATGAATGGTAAAAATTTGCGGTTATTACAAATAAAATAATCATCCATAGAATGATAGATATTACGTTTCTGTGCAAATAATTCAAGACTACTTGTTTAGAGAGTCTTGTATAGCAATTACGAAGATTTTCTCTCATATGTGTAAATACTGTAATATTATTGTTCAAAATAGAACAATCAAATTTTTAATCTGAAACAGTTTCTCTGTGAAGTAATAACCAATCTTTTTAAGATCAGAAAAGTACTTTTGATCACAAATTTTATACAATAACATGAAAGAACGTATGCTAATTGTTGCGTCCGATGGTCAGATAGTCGAGGTGGAAAAGCGTCAGCCTATCGCTCTAGAAGACAAGGAGGTCGAATCCGGGCAAGAAATCCAACGATTTTTTTATAGGAAGTTGGTCCCAGATATTCAAATCCCAAACTTCACATTCCCGGCCATCCATTAAAGATCTGGCCAAACCCATAATGGGTTGAATATAGAATTCTCTTACTTGTTAATGCTTACGTGGTGGAAAGGGTTAAGCAAATTGTTACACTAAAAGAGCATCAAATAGTAATTCTGTTTAGTTTCAAGATGAATTGAAAATTACAACAGAAATGACAAACAATTTCACGTCATTTCTGCTGTAATTCTTGATTAACCGTACAAGCAAATAATAATATATTAAATATTAATATAATAATATGGCCAATTAAGAGGATTGGACAACACATACTGTACTTTTGTTTAACTGTCTATTGATAGTTATATTATCTACAATGCCTTAAAGAGTCTGTACAAAAGAATCACTTTTTGAATTTCCAAATTAATGTTAGGACCTTTTTATATAAAGATTCTAACATTAATAGGTTTTTATATAAAACTTAGAAACTGTTTTAATAATAAAATAAAATTAAATTAAATTTAAAAAATGAAATATCGAATCACATAACAAAAGTCTGGCACATTTTCTATTACGTGTTTTTTAAATAAACAAAAACAATTACACGTAAAAGAATATGTAGAATTATAGAAAAATTAAATATCATACTGCTTAAATTTCTAAAATTTTTATAAAAACTAAATTTCTGTTTCGAATGTCTTTTAGACTTTATATTTAAGATGAAAATTAATATTATTGTTTAGTTTTTGCTTCAATAAGCAATAACATACCGTATATGTACTGTACTGTACAGTACTGTACATGTATGTGTATTTTTCTAAAATAAAATTTCAATTTATAAATTCAGCCGTTCTAATTTCATATATTACAATAGTTTAATTTATATTTTCTATTTTAACTGAATATTTATAAAAGTGATCTAAATATAAAAATAATAAAGAATAATAGATTATATTCTATAAAATCCATCATTCTTTATTATTTTATAATTTATATGACCTGATTACATCAAAAAAGGTGATAAATATTAATTTAAAATTGCATCAATGATAAATTTTATTTATTTGCCATCATTTTATATAGAACATCATTATAACTTTGATAAGTTACTCTAGTTAATTGAATATATATATGGCCAAAAGTCAGATAACCGAGATAATTTTAAGAACAGTGAAAAAGTTTGAAGTTTTAAAGTAATAATCTAAAATATGCGTGAGTTAACTGACTTTTGTGCTATTCTGTATATTCTAATTTATTGATTATGAAATTTTAGAAATTGAATTGTACAGAGTGGCTCAAAAGTTGGTCAATCAAGATATAGGTTTGGATAAGGCAATGCAAAACGAAGGTGATCTGCCTCTCGGAAGGGTTTTCTGTGGG